AGACCATCTGAAAAGGGTGCAAGAGACTTCTGCTCCCAAAAGCACCAATTAAGAAATGAAGTGAAACCTGAATTTTTGATTCATCCATTCTGAAACCGAGAGAATCCCATACAAGGGAAATATTTTTTGAAATTCATCAAAAAAATATAAACCGAGGCCGAGAAGAATGATATCATTCGTATTTTAATTTCATCCAATACCATTTCAATAAATAATTTATTATGATTGTTCTATCTCTAAAAGAAAAATTTTGATCGTGGATAAATCGTACAAATATTGAAATCAACCGATGAGTAAAATAATATCAAAGATATCCAATATTGAAAATATCTGATTTCTGATTTCATTCCATTTAAATTTTTTCTATTTGAAGACAAGTAGTCGAAGAGTCATGATATATTTCTAACCTCCTTTCCCATAATAAAGAAATGCATTTTTCGATGCATTGCAATTCCAAGATTTGGTGACATTTGGTAATATAAAGGAAATCAGATTGTATTGATTGTATTTATCAAATGCTAATGTGTATAAATTGTATACCAGAATTTTCTCAATTTATGTGTGTAGTTACCCTAGCTGATGCTGATGGACAGCCGGACATTCTTTCGCTTTGCCACGCATGTCGCTCATGCTCAGCTGCATCTCACTTAGGAGAAGCCGAAGTAGAACCTCAGGCGGCAAACATCGACGTTCAAGGGGGTACAAAGGCTCATGCTGGAGCTATCCAATCCAAGGGTCAGGTTGCTGGAAACTTCAAGCCCCACCGTGATCACGTCTGTCTCGCTTGTGAAGTCAGGCCTTCCTGGAAGTTCCGATTTGTGGGGGGTTTTGTGGAATTGGGGGGGTTACCTTCTTGGGGTCCAAGATGATTGGGAATCCTACTATATCGGGGACTATTTTAAAAGGGGCCCCCGATTTTCGTAAACCCCCATGTATGGAGAGAACATTTCGAGGGTTCAGGGTCCAGGGCATTGAGCCGAGACATGCTGAGACTCACCATGCAGATAAAGGCTGGGCCAAGTGTCGAAAGTCACAACCTTGGCTGAGAAAGGAGAAAGAAAGAACAAGACCGCATTTCCGCAAAATAAAAGCTCGAAATAGTACTACACGAGCACATCGGGCATGCGGCCAGGGCATTGCGTCGCAGCTGAAAATGCGTAAGCCTTCATCCAAGGTGCTGAACTTCTGCCCGAGCATCACTTTGGTGCCACTCCGGCGCTCGTTCAAAAAGAGCTCGAACTTCAATTTTGCCTTGTCCTGCACAAAATGCTTGGCCGAGCCCCTATCTCACATGCCAGAATCCTTCATGGATCGTGTGCTGCCTTGTCGCACGGGGGCAGGCCCGGGTGGTTGGTCACCAAAGGTTCTCTTCCAGTAGCGACCCATCCAAAATTCTTAAGGTTCTGTAACTGCTTCCTCAGGAGTTTCGAGTTGCTCGGTTAGCAGGCTTAGATTCTGCTGCTCCAGGGTTTGCAGATATTTGCAGTGTTGCGGTAGACATTCGGCCGTTCGTTAATTGCCTGGCAAGCTACCCAACGCTCCCCCCCCATGCTTCTCTTGGTTGGGATTCCTGCAGCTACGCTTTGCCAGAGTTTGGTCAAGGGGAGCGGTTTGTTCTGGGGGTGGGCATCAGATGCTTATTTGCAAGCCATGCTTGGTCTAGTAATGTGACAAGCCTCTCTCCGCTCTAAACCCCTCTGCTGCCAGGCTCGTGTAGCAACTGAACATCCCTCAATCATGCAGGGGGCAGGTCCGTGGGCCTCAGAGAGCAGACCGACCGCGCAGTCACCATCTCCCGTCAGCGCGGCCCCAGAGGGGAAGAAGACCAGTCTTAAGACCACTCCTGTTGACCAGGGAAGATTTTTGGGTTTCGCCGCGCCCCCTCTTTTGAAGCGGGACATCTACAAGCGCACCCTGCCGACGCAACATGTGGCCTGCAACCGTGAATCGCTGGCTCTCCACACCTGGCAATGGCTGTGCAAGTGGAGAGCATGGAGCTGGCACAGGGCTGCTGGCACATGATCTTTTCCTGCAGCCGCTTCGAACTTGCCTTTCCAACTTTGCAAGTTCCTGTTGCCTTTCTCCGAATGCTTCACAAAGGCTTCGTATTCAGAACGGTCAGGACGGAGGAGTACTGCTGCTGCACTGAGTGTAGCACATTGATGGCAAGCTTGGTCTGGCCACCCGCACAGCAGGACAACAGCGCCATGTCATGTGAGATGATGTTTGTCTCAACGGCCGAAGCCTTCATCCATGAATAAAGCTCCATCGCGGTCGTCCAGGAGTTCCCAGTGGAACATGATGTCAGTAGGGCATTGCAGGTTATCTCATTAGGCTTCAAGCTCCACGAAACTGCCTTCTGAAAGACCTCCATGGCCTTCTGAAAGCGGCCGTTCTCAAAGGCCGTCATCGCCGAGTTGCACGTCACTAGGTCCGGCTCCAAGTCTTCGAGCTGCATGTGGCCAAGCATTCTTGTGACCTCGGCAACTAGTTCCGCAGCATCCCTCAGCCTATTCAGCAAATCTACTCTCAAATCTGTTCTCAAACACCGCGAAACAAGCCGTTCTCCCGAGCCACCGCCCGCCACTTCTCTGCACGGGCGCAAACGCTAATCACGGAATTCAGGAACAGCGCGCTGAGCATCTCTTGGGCGCAAGGAGTGGCGCGGAGCATGAAGAGCCTGTGCACCGACTGCCGCCACTGAAGAACCTTCTCCAAAACGTTTGATATGGAGGTGTACGTTATCGCATCTTCCTTGAGAGCCTGACTCTTCATGCGTGCGAGGATGGAGGAGGCCTCCAGCCAGCCTCCACTTTCAAAGGCGGCGAGGACTGAGTTGTACGTTGCAACATTAGGCTGCAGAGGTAGGCCCTGGGATGAGTCCAGCCGGCTCAGGACTTGGAGCCAGCTGCTAGCCCTGGCAGATGCAAAGATCAACGCGTTGTTCATGGGCAGGTCAGCCTGCAGAGCTGTGGTTTGGGTACTTCTCAAAAGCTCTGCGGCCCATTGCCAGCGAGCACTCTTCTGGCAGGCGCTGATGCTTGCGCTCAGAGTGATGACGTTCAAGGAGACGTGGCTGAAGTTCATGTGGAAAATGAGCCCAAGAGCTGCAGGCCAAGATCCAGCCTTCTCACAACCAGTGATGGCAGCACCACAGCTGACGATCGAAAGTCGCAGCTGGCTTTCCCTCATCTGCTGCATGAGTTGCCAGGCCCCGTGCCAGGTCTCCCCTTTCGTTGAGCTGCTGACGGCCGCACTGAATGTCACAACCTTGGACAATGGCATCAACACACAAGGCGGGAAGCATGAAGACGGGGAAGGACCTTCAGCCATCCCAAATCCCCCAACTCCCATGAGCTGCACGCGCTTTCCTCAGGCACCAGCGTTGGGACGGCAGGTGAACGACGGCATTCTCGCCAATTGAAGCAGGGCAGCATGCCACCGAGTACCTTTCTCAAGGGCTGTGATCGCTGAGTTGAAGGTGATGCTGTCCTTAGGAAGAACCCGCAGAAATCTCCATCCGATCGGATGGATTTGCTGAGATTCTCTATAAATTTCTTTCTCTTGGTATCTTGTCTTCCTTCGATTGGGAGCCGTCCCTGAAGTCTTCTTTGCTTGGCCCTCCACAGAACTCATGTCTTCCTCCCCTTCCTCCCCCCCAATGGCCTGTCTGTGCGTGACTCTCCGGTGGCTGAGTTGGCAGACCCAGCTGATGTGACACATGATTGTTTTCTTGCCATGCTTGAGTTCTTCTGCAGGAGTTGTTAGTAGAAGGGCGCCCAACTGGCTGAATATTCTGCATCATGGAACGAACACCCAGTCCAGCTGAATGAAACTCCAACTCGGATGCATAGCATCCACTAGTCAGTGAAACCTGTAGCCTCCATCGCATGATGCCCCGGTCTCCGCCAACCACTCTCCCCTGACCTTCGCGCTAAATTCTTGAGGTCCACCCTTTTCTTGGTATTTGTCAGGCTCCGTAAGGAGCGGGAAATCTCGAAACTCTGCTATCTGCAGCAAAGGACATGACTCAGAAGAGAGGCAAAACACAATGCGGCGAAACAAATCACACATGTGTCCAAGCAACTATCCCAAGCCACAAGGCAAACAAAGCTTAGACAAGGAGGGAATGAAAGGCTCGCAGGAGACATGCACAGCTTCTGCGGCCGAGACTCTGGTACTGGAGCTCCGTGCTTCATGCTTGCAAGCTGCAGGGTGGCACCCTGCCACTGCGAATATGCTTCGGATGCGCTGACAACGGAGTTGTGAGAAAAGATGTCTGCTTCGATTCCGCGCTGCGCTCGGTCGCGTTGCAGCCGCAGCGCTGATTGCCAGCGTCGGCCCCGGTGGCATGCACTGGTGGCCGCGTTGTATGTAATGGTGTTGCCCTCCACAGCCAATGGGGCAAGATTTGATAAGAGGCAGACGGCATGTCTCCAGTGATAGCCGCTGCATTTGCTCAAAGCAGCGGTGCATGCAAGGACTTTGTGGCAGCCCTGAGAGTGAAGAAGGGACAAGTGAGACAAGGCGGCTTTCCACGATTTCGCCTGGCTCTCTTTGTGAAACTTTGGGAGCTTTCGGTTCTTGGGCATTGCTCTCGATCTTCGCTCATCTGTGCTGCCGGGTGTGTTGCCCCTGAAAGCATGGACAAGGAAGTTCTGCAGCGTTCGGCGTCGAGGCCACACATCACAAGTCGTCGGAGCTACCTCTGCCACCAGCGCTTGAGCCACGGCAGCCAGAATTGATCACGAGCATTCCGACACTGCTTCTTCAATGTGGCCACACAGTATTGAAATGCAAGGTCTGCTTGATTGAGGGCTGCCGGGTACAGCCGTTGCTAGCAGAACTACACACTCTGCAAGTGAAGTGAGACGGAGGGTGCTGAGAGGCCCTGAACCTGAACCAGCTTACCCGGCTTACCCTCTGTCTCACAAAACACACACACACACACACACACCTTCTTGGCGATTCCCCGCCTTCGCCCTGAGGCCACTCTTCCAGCACGTAAAGGTCACTGCAATTCTGGCCTCACTTTACTGCGTTGAGGCAAAATTCGTTTGTTTTGCCTTTGGTTTGTTTTGGTTTTCGTGTTCAATTTTTAATCTTGTTTGTTTGTTCCCCACCCCGGTGACCCCCAGAGAAGCGCAGCACCCGCAAGAGCCCTGCGGGTATCCCTACTTGCCCAGCCCCCAGAGAATACCGCGGAGAATTACCTGTCCGAAAACGGCAGGATGGCTCCCACATCAGGGTAGCTGCAGGGTGGGGATGAACGAAGTAAACAAATTGTTTGTTTTTGTATGCTTGTGTGCGCGTGCGTGATTGCATCCGGCGAGAGAGAGACTACCCTGCCCAACAACATCTGCATAGATACTGTGAGAAGGCTTCCAATGATGCGTTCACAACATCTGGCAACCAGGGCTGTGGCAGTCCCTTCCCGTGAGAGTCCACAGGAGCTTGCGACCATGCACACTCAGCACTCCCGCGGAGCATCCAGTAGTTGCCGATGGACATGTGCTACTGGCCGCGCAGCCGGTGCCTCGAGAGGCACTTCCCCTGAATGTCCGAAATTGTTCCGAATCCGAATTCCTGTCTTTCGCATGCGTTCACCCTTCCCAGCCTGTCAGCTCGCTGTGGCGTGATGGCTCCTCCGTTGTCACAGTCGCTGCGCGGCTGCTGCTGAGGCTTGTATGGCTGTGGCTCTGCAAGAACTCAAGCCTCAGCAGGACGTAGTGTTGGATCATGAGAGCCCGCAGCTCGCAAACAGCTCTTTGAATTTCAAGTGGGGGCTGTTTGGGTAAAGGGGAGCCATGTTGCACGGGGTGGATCTGACATTGACACTGCGGCTGCCGTGCACGTGACTGCATTGATGACGTGATATTGCACATGCCTTCCTGGGCTCGCAGCTCCTTGTCGGGAGCGTCCTGAGCTCTCATCGGTCCGATGCTGCAACAGACATCGCCAACAGATTCAGCAGAGCTTCCACCAGGCTGCCGTCGTCTTGGGCTTCCCTTCCGGACCTGAAGCAGAAAGGGGTGGCAACTTTCGGGCTCATGGCGGGCATGATGAGCTAGCAATCGGGGTCCCTAGTCCCCAATCTCGAGAGTGCGACAAAAATCGGCTCGTTGACAAAAAAGCCCCCCCCCCTTCCCACCTCCTATTTTGGGGGTCCTTGCATTTGACGAAGGAAGGCCACTGTTTCCTCAACGTTTTACAGTCGAATCCCTGCTTCCTCTAAAACAAAGAACCTGTGCATTTCCTCCATACTTGTCAAGGAAAACCTCAGCCACTGTCGGAGCGGAGAATAAAGTTGAAAGGATTTCCTTGTCAGATATAGAGGAAACAAAAAGCTTCCAATCGATGGCCCACCAGAACCCTTCGCACACCCACCCAAACCTGCTTCCAGTGTCCCACCCACTGTACCCACCCCTAGACCCCTACAGGCTCACGAAGGAAGGGGGGGGGGACGAACGAAGAATAGGAGGCTCCCTGGGCTCTGAGTGCACACGGTGGCCCGAACTCCAAGCTCTGAGAGTCCCAAACCCCTCTACCGAAGCCGGCGCGCTCTCCAAGACATCCGGGGGGAGGTTTTCTTGCCGGGACATGTGGCTTCCAGGGGCTGCGGCTTCCGAAGTCTATCCAAGGTATCAAGGTATGCGTACAAAAACACATTCCACATGATCTTCCTCAGCAACAAGCAGCGTACTTCGTGTCGAGAAGCTTCGGAGACAAGGGCAAAGAGTGGGCTTGCTCCGGCATCTCGTCCAAGAGTTGAGGTGTCAGAAATGTTTCCTGGCGACACTGTGGCTACTATGGTCATCACAGATCAAGGCTCCGAACCCGGGCGCTGTCCTCGTCAACATATGTAACGATCGGGGCTGTTTCTGTGCACTCTGGCACTGTAGCGCTGTACCTTGAAGGCTGGCCATGGATGTCACGGACATGAAGCACTTTCTGAACTTCAGACAAGTTTCTCTTCCACAGGGGTGTAGCCATCGTGACTTGCATGCCAGGCCTTTCAAAGCGGGGTAGAGTTGCAGATGCTGCGGACGCGGCTTTCATGTCGATCCCAGCACGCCTCCCACGAAGTGTGCCAGGATGTCACATCCTGCCAAACATCACCATGTGCCACCATCGGGGCATGCCTTTTTTTCGACAATAGTGAAGCAAAACTCAGATCCACCCATTCCGGCTGCATGTGTCGGTTGAACTGCTGTCCGGTCCTGAGCTCCAGGGACGAAGGCAGGACTGTCTGCCGACAGCCCGCTGGCGACGCCAGCCCCAGTGTACCTTGGCTCCCAACAACCCCCGGGATTGGGAAACACGGGCCGAGCCTGGGGGCCAAGCGTTGATGGTTGTGAACCCTGGGTCCAGCTGTCTTCAGCGCTGGAAGCTCCAGCAAGCGGCACAAACTCAGCGGCATCAACACGCATCCCTTTGACCTCTCGCCAACGAAGCTGGTTGCAGCTTCGCCGGCACCCGGGCCTTAGCCTCAACCGGCCAATTGCCGACCCTTTCGAGCCAGAATGTGAAACAGGAAGCTCTTTGCAACAGCATAGTTGCCTCGCTAGCATATACTTCTTGCAAGCTGGTGCCCGGCAACTGCTCAAGCCTGCAACGTTCCACACCTAACTTGCCTGCCAAGCACATAGAGCTTCAAACAAGAAACTGCTTTTTCTGGCGTCTCAGCTCAGGTACGCAGACCGTGCGCAATTACAGCCGCAGCATGTGGTGACATGTCGGACACGACACGTTGCAGAATGCACTTACTCTGAGTACGACATGGATGCCGAAGAATGTGGCCTATGCCGATCACACAAAGTTGCTTCCCGTCCTGCTACACCCGGGACTTGACATGACCGAAAGTTCAGGTCCTCACCGCAGAACCTGTGTGAAACATGTCGTGGATAGCTAGAAGCCACGCCGAGGTCAACAAGATAAGTCATGGCACCAACAAAGTGACATCAAGCTTCATGGATCAAGACCACCCCGGGGCCATCATAGAAACAACAGGCCTAGCCAAGTTTGGCACGCCCTTGGGGGCTTTGTGGCCCCTTATGCCGCTCAGACCACTCTCTGCCGGATTCAGTGAAGAAGCCAAGTTTTTCGTCTGGGTCCTGTGCGTCGTACCAATCACGCGCATTCATCTGTTCTCTCTTCACTTGACGCGACGAATCTGAAAGAAACACTGTCCTGACCCCCCACAAGTCTTGCGATGTCCGGATGGGTTGCAGCCCAATCCATGAGAGTAGGTGCCCTGCAAAAGAATGGTCGCTATTGTGGATACATCACACATGCTTAGGTCCACAAGTCCCAGCATCTAGGATAACTGTTGAAACCAGGATGCTGCTCAGGCGTTCCGCGGCTGAGAGCAAAGACTGTCCAGAAGATGTCCTCCGCCAGTGCGCCAGTGTTGCAACGAGTGAAAAGAAACACGCAAACCCACGCAAAGACATGCAAACAAACCCAGACAAACACAAGCAAACACCAACAATCGCAATCAAGCAAGCAAACAAGAAGTACAAAGCTAAACAAAGCAAACCAACGCACCACACGTGCCTGCGCGCGCACACACACACACACACACGCAGTACGTGTGTTGGCGTCACAAGAGAAATCAGTGCCTTTCCAGAGCCTCTTTGTTGGGCAACCACCCTGAAAGGCAGGCTGCCGTTCTGCAATCGCAGTGTACAGTATCATGTCGAATGAGCGTGTGAACCCGTAAGATGCTTGACACAAACGCACACACCCACACACACCCACACCGACAGAGACACAGACACTGAGAGAGAGAGACACGGAGAGAGAGACACAGAGAGAGACACGGAGAGAGACACAGAGAGAGAAACAGAGAGAGGGACACAGAGAGAGACACACAGAGAGACACACAGAGAGAAACAGAGAGACACAGAGAGACACACAGAGACACAGAGAGACACAGAGAGACACAGAGAGACACAGGGAGACACAGAGAGACACAAGGAGACACAGAGAGACACAGAGCGACATAGAGCGACACAGAGAGACACAGAGCAACACAGAGCGACACAGAGAGACACAAGGAGACACAGAGAGACACAGAGAGAGACAGAGAGAGACAGAGAGAGACAGAGAGAGACAGAGAGAGACACAGAGAGACAGAGAGAGACAGAGAGAGACAGAGAGAGACAGAGAGACACAGAGAGAGACAGAGAGAGACAGAGAGAGACAGAGAGAGACAGAGAGAGACGGAGAGAGACAGAGAGAGACAGAGAGAGACAGAGAGAGACAGAGAGAGACAGAAAGAGACAGAGAGAGACAGAGAGAGACAGAGAGAGACAGAGAGAGCAGAGAGAGACAGAGAGAGACACAGAGAGACAGAGAGAGACAGAGAGAGACAGAGAGAGACAGAGAGAGACAGAGAGAGACACAGAGAGACACAGAGAGACACAGAGAGACACAGAGAGAGACAGAGAGACACAGAGAGAGACAGAGAGAGACAGAGATACAGACAAACACACGGACATCCCTTGAGACTTTTGCCTTCGATCCACTTCAGAGAAGCCCAGCACGCTCTGGAGTCGGCGTGGGGATGGACCAGGCAGGCGCGGCAGGCTAGTAAGGATTGAATGTGGACTGCGGCTTCCAAGACATGACTGGCTGACACTGGTCCTCGCCACAACTGAGCTCAGCTTCCTTTTGGCTTATGCTCCCGCCACCAAGTGCAACAACTTGTTTAGCACCACTTGCCTCTGGGACCGGAAAGCAGCAAGAATGCAGGACACGCAAAACCCTTCAAGGTTCAAAATGCACAAGCATGCAGATATGCTGGGCCAGCCTCAATCGCCACGCGACCAAGCATCACAAACCTTTGCCTCTCAGGCGGCATGTCCCTTAGCAGTAGCACATGTGGTTCCCAGTGATTGGCCAGTGTATGCTCCAGCTGGCGTGACGATGCTTCAGTACGCAGCAGTGCGTAAGAACGGGGCGCCATCGCAGCCTCGTATCGCCTAAGGCGACCCATGAGGTCCGTGAGGTCGACAGGCACCAGAGCCATGCGACCAGGGTGTGCAGCCGCGACCTGCCGAATGATCTGTACCGGTGCAGGTGCATGGCATACGGGACATTACGGGACGACTGCGAAAGCAAGCTGGGTCCCGCTTGCAACCCTTGGTTCTTTGGGGAATGGCTGTCTTGTTGCCTTGGTCCCTGCACCAGCAACCTTTACCTTGTGCCATGCGGACAGTGCGTATTCCGGGCCCGAAGTGGTTTGAAGAGACTCCTTCGCACGCCACTGTGTAGTTCCACGCGGGCGTTCCATTCGCTATTTCTGCTTTTGCTTGCCATTCTTTGTTCGCCGCTAACCTGTGTTTGATGCTTGTTGTTCATTGCTTCAGTGCGCTTGCCTTCATTGATTCTGCCTTCTTCCGCTGTTGGTCCAACTGTTTGCAGCTTGCGAAAACCGAAGATGGTCGCATCTGGATGTTGTGCGATCGGCAGCCTCAAGAAAAACAAACTGAAGGTTGACCTAAACGTACCCAAACTGCGGGCCCTTTTGGGATCTCCATCTCAAGGCACCAGATCAAGCCTCGGACACGGCAAAGGCCAAAGGACCCAGGCCTCCTTCCAGCTCCTCTTGAAGCTGTCGATGGAGTCGCCTATCCTGCCAAGTTGTCACGCCCGCTGATGTCACAAACTGCACATGTCCAGGCTGCGCTGGATTCACTGGATCCACGGTGTGTTTCTGGCCAAGCTATTCCCAGCCTGAAGGCGACAACTCGTCGGCCCTCTCCACACTTGAGGTAATCCGGAATGAGTCTGGTGAAGCTCGTTTCTTGAAACTCGTCACCATCCCACACCTTGGTTGATTCGAGGCAATGGCACTGCTGGCACTGCATGAGGGAAATTTCATGCAGCGGTTGTGAAGATCTGCCACGGAACTAGAAGGGATGACTGGCTTGCTTTGGCGACGGCCTCCTGCAAGAAGCATGAAGATGAATGGCAAGGCCACAGCTATACGACGGTCTGTCTGAGCAGAGTGAGATTGTTTGAAATCGCTTCGTGGGCTAACTTGCAAAGGCACATGCACTTATACATCCGGCGAGATCGAAACATGGGTTCAGAACTAGCTGGAGGCGAGCCCTCTGACATTGAACTTCAGCACGCGATGGACCGCGTAGTTTGTTGCGGGAGATCCGGAGCAGACCCTGCCCCAGCTTGTTTTTGCGAGAGATGCAATGCCTCTTATATGGCTCTGGAATATGGCTCTGGGAGCGGGCAATGAGGCTGGAATAGCGAGCAGGAATACATAGAAGCGAGATGAAGCGCACACGTGTCAGAATTAGATCCGCCCATGCACGTAGCAACAAGACAGTCTGGGCAGCGAGCACGGGAAGCGGGGCGCGGGTCCTTGTCAAAGAAGCCAGGCACGTTCCCACCGAAGCCCTTCAAATGTAGGATCTCACTGGGCCGGATCCCTGCTTCTTGGAGCCAAGTGTGGAAGTGCTCCAAAGGTACCTGGCTACCGCAAAGCTTCAGACTGATGTGCATGCCCTGGCACCAGGAAATGCACATATACATATCTCACACTCATACTGTGCATGAGCATAAGAATATGTGGGTCAACTTGACCCTCTGCTTCGTGCCTCCTCGATGCAAGCATCTTCGTCCGCATCGGTCATTTGCACATTCTGATCAGAAACCGAGAATCAACAACAACTTTTGACATTGACTTCGGGCTTCTTCTTCAATGGTTGAAGATCCAGGATTTCTGGGAGCAGATTGATCTGGGTTGTGTGCTAGCCGTGGCGAGACCAACTGTCGAGCCCATGTTATGGCTGCGAGGGGTGGGACGGGGGGCTGTCTCTGCTTGGACAAGGCGTCCTCAAGCTAACAAAAGAGCCCGTAGACGACCCATCGCTCCTTCCCGCGTCCCGGACCTGTTCTGGCCCCTGCCCGCGTTCAAAGCAAGGAGGCGTCGAATTTGGCCACGCTGCAAGTTGCGGCTCTGACTTGAAGAAGTCGAAGGGATTGAAGGAATCCATGCACTGATGGGCCTAGTTGGGGCCTAATGGTATCCTAATGGTTCTCAAGCCGCATTCAACCTAATAAGTGCGTCGGCAGATGGTGGCCGCAGATGTGGCTGCATCGGCCATGCCCCATCCAGAAAACTGCATAATTAAACTCTGGTTTCGCAAACGGGTGGACGAAACGATAGCGCAGACCTCCCGCATGCCGCGATCATGCGCAATAATGTGGTGAAACATTGAAGGCAGCGCGCCCTCAAGTGAACGTTGCCCCCAGTCATTCTTTCCGATCTGACCTGCTTCTTAAATCTTCAGCGCGGACAGCAGACCGGGTGCACGGAGCGAAGCCACATGCCGTGCCAGCTTTTCAAACTCATGAGTTGCATACTCCTTAGACGGTCCCCTCATCACATGGGGCATACAGCACGGTTTGGTTCTAGTATGTTCTAGTGCAACACTCCAGTGCAGGCCAAGGCTCACGTTCTTCGCTAATAACGACTCCGCTGGTCATACCGCGATGTCCAAAAATCACAAAACCTTGAATCTTTGGATTCAGGTTCGCAAGGGCGATCCTGAAACTTCCACATGGCATGGCAAAGTGGTGACTCGTTGGCACCTCGTGATGCGACCAAGCTTCCGTGCTCTGCCAACAACTGAAGCAACGCAACTGCTTCTGCTATATCTGCATCTGATGGTCCTCACGACGATTCTTCGAGCTTGCACAACAGACACGGTAGTGAAGGAACCTGCCAGGAGTATGTGGCCTGGTGAGAACTCGAAGGATATGGCACGCAGTGGCCTGGGTTCAACATGCCCAAGCATCTTCACGAGTTTCTACCGAGCTCTTGGATGGACTGATTGAAAGCCCTGTGCTGGAAAAGGTTGGAAATCATTCTTCTCCGCCAAGAGACCCGGACAGTAACTTCGGGGCACCTCGCAGTGCCCTGAGTTCAGCTCCCTCGATGTCCATCTTCCTAGCAGGTGTGCGCTGTCGTACTTGCTTGCCATGGTGTCGAGCCACAGGCTCACAAAACGAGCAAACTGTAAACTCCGAAAGCCAAGCGGCATCATACAAATATCTGAAAGCGAGCCGCCGAGACGGAAAGCCTGCGCCAAGGATATGGAGCACAGCATTGAGGAAAAAAAGGGCCCTGATTTCACTGCCACCTGCTCCTCTGCTATATCGTCGAGCCGACGTGCAGGGACAACGCTGGAAAATTCGACCTCAACTCGGCGGCAACATGTGGCCACCTGTGTCTCAGCATGTCGAAAACCGACCCCTTCGAGAGAACCAGGCCATTGCTGGCTGCAGCTCCTCCGCTGCAGCAGGAACCGTTTCCTCACAGAGGCGGTTGCAAAGCCAGTGTGAACTTGCTGAATTTTGTCACCTTACTTCGCTGCGGCCCATGCAGTCCTCACTGCTTCGGATCATGGTGCTGTTGCCAGCGTCGAACCTGGAATGCTCTGACATACGATCGCTTCATGAAGAGATGCGCGCAGAGCAGGAGCACGCAGGAGGGGATTCCGGAGGGCATGCCGAGTTGGGGAGGCTCACTTCGCTTCGCCTTGGATCTCCAGTCTTTCAGAGTTCTCTTCTCAGCCGTTTTTCTTCTCATCCCGATGTGCTGTGAACCCTATTTTCCGCAAGTGGACGGGAATCGAGAGGACAAACAGGCGCGGTGGATCTAGGCTTGCGGTATGATTGGCGACTCAAGACAGGGTGTGACAGGCCGGCACACTGTTTTTCCGAAATGTGCCAGCCAGCGTCCACTACCCTGGCACTGGGATTCGGCTTTGGCTGAGAGTATGTCGGGTAATTGAGCTTCTCAGGCTTTTCATGAAAGGTTGGTTTGCCGACAGAGTCCTCTTTGAGGGATGGTGGGGCAGAGTTCCATGCAATTTGAAGTCAAGTGTTGTGGGGACAGAAGGGTAATTAACACCGGTGCCATAAGCGAGACCCCCCGACGCCCTAATGAGGCCCTAGTGCAGCCTGGCTTCGGGTTCCGTCTCAGCTGCACAGTTCCAGCCTCTTCATCGACAGCAGCTGGTGAGATGGCCACTTTGCCGAAGCCCAGTGTGGTGTCCTTGCCAACTGCAACTGCTCTGACTACTCGGCATGGGCTGCTTACTATGCCAATGCAGTCAAAAGAGAAGACTCTTCCAGATGCTGTCGTCGTTTCGCGGGGCTGCGGCAAACTGAGGGAAGCGTGCAACATGAGCAGATTGGATGGCTCGGGCTCCACGGCAATGACCCGATGACCCATTGAAGCAAAAAGAAGCGTGCACGCGCCGATGTTGGCACCAAGGTCGATGACGATGCAGCCGCTTCCAGCAGCGTGCCAGTGTTGCGGGCTTAGGTGCGACGCAGGCGGGGGAAGGAGTTCTGCAGATAAAGCGCATTCCGACCACTGGCCCTGGTTGAGAATCCGCTTGTCCACTAAGCTTCCCCCCAGCCAGGACCCCACAGATTCTGGCTGACGTATGCAGATGCGATACTCCCAGCCCAAGGCACGGGCCTTTGTGAGAAACGTGCCTGGTGGACAGGTCCCTCGCAAGCTGAGTGCTTCCTGCAGTCGGTGCAGAATATGCCATAGGCTGGCAGGTTTTGGGGCTTCCGTCAGGGCCATGTGCTGCAGGAGCTCCAGCGAGACTTTGGCAGCCTCCATCTGTGCAGCAAGCCTCTCCCCAGGCTGGATCACAAGGTGCTCCTGTGACGAGGCGGCCTCGGCCGCTTGCCGGGCCACGGCTGCAACGGCGGCCTCCATCTTTCCGCAGAGCTCTTCCAAGGCCTCGAGCACCAGCGCATCTTTCCCAACTTCCGTGCCTCCAGAGCTGTTGACCGAAGCCGGCAGGCTGCAGCCGGCATCGTCGGCGGCATGCGCCAAGAGGAGGAAGACAGGCCATCCGCTGAGCACTGCCGCCGGCCAAGGCATCCGGAGCACCTGCTCAGCTGCGGCAGCGCGGGTGCCGCTGCAGGTGGCGCTCTGCAGCAGTTGGAGCGCGATGATGCCGAGCTCGCATTCTGCGGCAAGGAGGGCTGACATCTCCTCTGAAATCTCTCCATGCTCTCTCAGAGGGGTATCCAGCACATCACTGGGCTGGTGAGCCAGGACCCAGCTGACCAGGTAGTTTCGCTGCCGAACCCAGAAAGGGCCATTGACGTCTTGCGTTACATTCATGGGGCTGGTTGTGACCCAGCATTCCTCCTCAACGTCATGCAGCAAGCCGTCTCCGTGAATTACGCTCCCTGGAAATGCGCAACATCTTGAGCGCACGTTATCGCCACCACAAGTTTGAAACCCTTCTCGTCTGCAACATTGCGACAGGCTGTCCACTCGTCTCCAGCATGGTGCCGGTTCTGTGGGCTCAAAGACCGAGTCAATGTCTGTGACCGTCCACGGTGCCACTCGCGGGAGCGAAGTGGGCAGCCAGTGCACTGGCCCGCAGCTACCGATCACCAGGAAGGCCAGCCTTAGTGTCAACGTGAGCCCAGCCTTTTTGTTCCTTGCGGCGGCTGCGAGTGGAATGGGTCGCGGGCTAGCAACCACACAAGCCCTACCAGTAAGGCCCTAATTTGCCGGTGCAAAGGCGGACGCCACTTCCGCCTCTAATGGACGAGACATTCACGTCTATCGCTCAAAATCTGGATATGTATAGATGTACACACACACACACACACTTGCGTTTATGTCTATGTGCGCTTGCACAGATGATACGTCGTATGCTTTCTTTCAGGACATGTTCAACCTAGACTCCAAACACAATGTTTATCAGCAGTTGAAAACTAGTTCAGCCATGCAGGCGCATCATTGCTGTTGAGAGCGCGCTTTTGCTTGCACAGCAAGTGACACATTATGGATGCATGGTGGCAGCAGCTTTTTGGTGGCATTTGCTTGTCTCACCTCCACGTTTCATACCTGCCTGGTCTGCCTGGTCGAAAGATCGTTATTTCTCTGCTACTTGCGTGCTATCCAGGAATGCCGTCGTTCCCACCATATAGGAAACGCTTCGGGAACATGTGCAGGTTTGTCAAGTCTAAGACATGTCGAACACATGTTCCACAAAAGAAACCGACGAATGCATTCAGGTCTTGCCGGTCACTTTTGCGCTTCTCCCAGAAGGGTTGCGTCATGATGCGCTTTGCTTAATTGCTTTGGATGTTCAGCGTAGACACACGATGCAATTACACACACAGACATGCGTCAGCTGTGCCAGGCAGCTTGGCCCACCATGCCATGCGAATCTTTCTGTTGCATGCTCATGGATAAGAGAACAATCTGAGCCGACAAGCTCTTCAAGGCACCTTCTGAGATCCTTGCTGAAGTTGACAAAATCGGCCGGTATGCTTTGTGTCGGGCTGCTATGGCTAAGGAGAGTTCTCTGCCTCCCTACTCTTCCGGTGGAAATCCAGCACGCTGTGCAGTCGGTTCCTAGGGCGGGGTGTTGGCTTCTTTCCAGCCCCAGCCTCTGAAGAGTGCTGGGATCCGCCGCGTGAAAAACACATCTCATTTGTATCCTCACGCCTATGAGAATTGGCTGTACAGAAATGTGGGGCGAGTCGGTTGCCGGCTCGCCCGGGAGTCACCTCCTCACTTTTGCCCAACCTGGCCAGCCCATCGGCCCACCATGACTTGGCACATCGTTTCTCTTCTTGCACCAGGCGCCTTCTTCCTCGTCATCAGACTCCAGACCTTAGCGCGCAAGGACCCTTGCGTCCAGCATCTTCCCTCCCTTCATCTCAATTTCATCTAAGTCTACCATCACTCCGCTGCCCAAGACGAGGAGCCGCCAAATTTGTTGGCACCAGCCAGGCTCTTTAGTCCGTCTTGACCTTTGTGTGTGTTAGCGTTGGGTCTCTGGGATGCACTGCTCCGACTCAAGAGAGGCCCCTGACGTGGAGGCACCTTGGCCGTGGCCTTAGGCTTGGCCTGCAACGTGCTCACACATGACCTTGCTTTACAGCCTTTTTGTGCCACACTCCAACAGTTGTGCCTTGGGCTTTGCGTTCGGCACAGAGTCGGGTCGCCCAACCACGGCCTGGGGGACCTTGAAACTCTGACTCTGCTTCTCGGATCTCCCCGGCTGCGCAGTGTGAGTAGGCACCGCCAGGCGTGTTCCAAGGTCGATGCAGCCTTGGCTGTAGCCTTTGCGGCCACCGCGCCAGCCCCCCCAGCTGCCGCGCCTGTGCCCGCATGAAGACTTTGAGAATGAGGCGACGCACTGAAGGCCCTGACGGCCCTAGACCCACAGAGGGGCCCTCAAAAATGAGTGCGTGGCTGCTCTGAACTTGGGTCACCTCCCCAAAGCCGCAAACAACAGAGAGAAGGGCGAACCGAAGGGGGGAAACTGAAGGAATGACCTCCATATTCGCCCCTACAAACGAGAGAAGGAGGAGCTTGGTGCAGAACTCTGCCTTGGCCAAGGCCTTCTCCTTCTTCCGCCTCTCGGCCTCGCGCTGTTTCTCCTGATTGGCCTGCAAGGATCCCAAGAGCACGGATTCTCCCTCCATTTGATCCCAAGGGACTCAGGAAAACCGAAAGAGAAACTTTAAAAACAATTCGCTGTGTGTCCTTCTCTATGGCCAAGGATCGCTCCTGTTTCGCAGGCTCCGTGCAGACAAGCAGTGGCAACGGCTAACCTCCCGTTATCCCCATTCCACGCCCAAGCCTGGATGGCTTCCCAAGTCTCGGCATCAAAGTGACGGGCAAATTCCCGAGCCGACTCGGCAAGCTCTTTTGCTTGAGCCTGGCAGCCATCTGGCAACTGTGGCGTAGTTTGTTCTCCTTCCCCCAACCTCCGTGACCCCGAGATGTTGAGCAACTGCTGTCAATGTGCATGCCTGGCAGAGGGTACCATACGGCGACATGTGCTGACCAGCGGCCCTGCGCATGCCCCCCGGAATACATGGAGCTTGGAAGCCAGCATAGGACAGCACCGGCGCATCCTCCCAGAAAGCATCAGAGCCCAGAGGGTGGGACGTCGAGCTACTCGCCTGGCCTCTGCTTGGGGTCGTGGAGCTGGTCTGGGCCGAGGGGCTGGTGCCGGGGCCTCAAGAACAAAATTTGTCTCGCCACAACTACTTATGACTTAGCAGAGGATCCATGGTGAAATCTTGAGCTTCTCAGGACCTCTCCAGGCTTTGTTGCGCTTCAGCTGCCTCGGTCCTCACCTGCGCTTGAACCCGTTCATGAAGCGGCTTGTGCCAGAACATGTAGCTTCACCATGCCTGGGCAGCGACCTGCGCTTGTCGCAATGCTGCAGGTGCAACGGCTACTGCCTTTGGAGGGTATCCTGCACAAGCCAGTCAAGACCTGTCAAGACCTGCAAGAGGGGGAACTGCGAAAAGACACTCCGCGCCTCCAGCAGGAGAGGCCTCGATGCCAAGGGAAGATATAGATGCACAGCCAGTGGAGACAAGCACTGGCAAGAAAAGGAAGGCCTTTGAACTAACGCTCGGATTCGTTGGTCTTGCAGGTGCCTTGGAGGCTGCAGTGAAGATCGCAGCTGGACAACCGCAGCGTCTCTGCCGCGCCTTGCTTGCCACAGCACGGGCTCGAGAAGCTCGTGCCTCCGCGGCAAGGGCAGCTGCCCCCCTGGCAGTGGAGCTTGGAAACCAGAGTCAAGGAGTGCCTTGTTTCGTTGCAAAGGCACGAGCTTTACATGAGCAAGGGTTCTACTAGCTAAAACATCCCCCCCTCCCCCCCCCCCCCTCAATCAGAATCCAGAATCGCAACACTCGCCCTTGCGCGCTTCTTTGCGCTGCGGATCGCTGCAGCCAAACACGAGCACCGATGCACCTCTCTTTCTCGTCGACGACCGGTGCCACGGCCGCTTCTGCTCTGCGGAGCTGCTGCTCTTCCACGACGGCCCTGGCATTATTTATGATCAAAAAGGTAGAAAGAAGAAAAGCCAAGCAAAAGAGACACGCGCACACACACACACACACACACAAAAAAAAAAAAAAGATATAAGTACACAGCGAAAGAGAAGAGTGTAGCTCTGTAGCTGTTCTGTTCCACGCCTCACTTTCTCCACCTTCGCCTTGCTGTCTTCGAACGAGCGCTTGAGAACTTTAATCTCGTCCACGGTGAGCCTCGCTGGGTGCGCCGGGGTCGGACTGCTCTGTTCGACGTGACTATGGGCCACACTCTTCGCCCCTTCAGCTTGGTGCCCCACATCTTCTTCCCCTTCTCCCATCCTCTTGCTTACAGAAGAGAGGCTGTGGCACGCGAAAAGGGGTAACTGAAAGGACATGCTCAGATCCAAACGCTCGTAGTCTTTGCGGATGTCCTGCACGTGATGCAAGGGACAACAAGGGCTTTGTCAGGCAGCTTCCGGCTTGGCTCAGCTGCAGCTAGCTGGCTCGTTGCCTCAAACGCTTTCTCCGCCTTCGTCACGTCCTGCCTTGCCTGGGCTTGGGCCCGTTTAACACGCCCTTGCAAAAAGCCGGCATCAGGGGCCTTTAGGGTTTAGGGTTTAGGGTTTAGGGTTTAGATGAGCCTCAGGGCCTCAGGGCCCTGGCTCGGCGAACGTGCGCCGGATCGTCTCTCGTTGCTGCTGCCTGGGGCAACGCAGGCTCGTAGAGGATTCTTGGCACACCCTGTTCCGGGACTGGGCACTTGGGCACTTTTCAAAATTTAGTGTGTCACTGTGCACCTCAAGGCCAGTCAGCAGGTCTTGGAGCTTGCTTCTTTTCGCCTCCGCACCTGACAATCCCAGAGAGATTTGCGCTCCCAACCTCGAGCCTAGGACACATGGGCCTTTGGTGCTGTCATCAATTGACTTCAGTTGCCCCTGTAAGAACCTCAGCCAGCATTGCAGGAATCAATTTCTGTGGCCTTTTGAGCACTGGGCGCCACACTCCTTGGCCACCTTCTTCTCGAAAGATGCCACACCATCTGTCCTCACAGCCTGGATGCGCAATATGAAGGTGCAATCACTGTGGTGCTCTGGACCTGCACGGGGCCTGCAGCTGCTCGAACAGAGCCTTCTTAGCATCCGTCTCGGTGGAGAGGATTGCGGCCTGAAGTCCAGGCGTCATGAGCAGTGAGCAGTGAGCCGACACCACCAGCCAAATGCCTGCTCATCATCGGGGCTCTTGATGCCTTTCACATGCTCCACCTGATCAAAAATGCTGCTTCGACTTTTGCTGCCCAGAAAGGTTTGGCAGGCTTCTTGGACCCTCCTTGCCTCCTTCAGCCGGGAGATAAGTCCACAAAGCGACAGCTCGGCGATTCCAAGCGGGGCCATCGCGCGCGAATGAGAAGCTGAGCAGATTCCCTGGGGGCTCCAAAAGTGAATGTGAAGAGGCTTCGGCTGCCTGTCCGGATGCACAGCTTTCACGGGCCAAAATCGCTGCTGTCCAAGATGAAGAAGCACTTGCAAGGAATGCCGTCGCTCATGGCTCTCACCCAGGTTCTCGGCCGAAGAGTTTCAACGCCGGTTTGCACAACGAATGTCGGCTGGGGAAACGTGATGTCTCGTGATGTAACGGGATATGTAAACAGGTGACACGGGGGCAGCCGTGATGCGAGCTCAAGGCTCGCCTCAAAGGCCGTCAAACCTAGCTAGAAGAGCCAATCTCACCACGAGACTAGCACGAGAAACTTGTCAGCCATGAACCTTCAAAGCACCGAGGAGGAAAGCTGCGCGCAATAGTGTTACGGCGCCTGCCTTTTCTTGCGGAAGAGAGGTTGTTGCCCACCTCCGCTGTGTGGCAACACAGTTCGATTCTGAAGCACGGCCGTTGCTTCCCTCTACCCTCGTGCAAGGACCGCTGAGGTTGCAGGGCACGCCCAGCTTTCAGGTGTTGCCAAGTCTGGCTCGGCTTTCTGCCGGGGCGATCTTGCTTGTGATGGGGTCGTTGACCCACCGCCCACTCAATAAGATAGAAAGTTGTCTACAGGAAATTGACCACCTGTCCAACGAAAAAAGCGAAAGAAACCAAAAGCACAGATAAGACAGAACCATTGAACAGAACGACATTGAAAGACTTCTCATAAAGTGAAAAAAGATGAAGAGACAAGTAAACAAGACAATGAGTCCTGCATTTTATTTGGTACAGCTTTTAACATAACATATTGGCACAAGAACTATATGTAAAGGAGCCAGTAATCCACATGCTTCTAATGCATTATCTGGATGTGAGAAAGAAGTGAAGCCGAAATGAATTTTGAAGAAGATATAGTAGAGAATTGATATCTTTCCACAGAAACCTTTACCAATAACGAAAGGAAAATGCTATTTTGCTATTAGTGGAATTCCTTAAAGGATGAGTAGAAGATAGAAGATGTAGATTGAAATGTGAAAATGCACAAAGAATACATGTAAATTGAAAATGAAAAACAAAGAACCTGATTAATGTAAATATAATGTCCTCCGTAAAACCATTCTATAAAGATGGAAATGGAGATATTAACTTTGTAATTACTGTAACTCCTCATCAACTCATTTGTCCTAGAGAGGTAAGACGTAACCCATAATTCATATGAAGTATCTGTATTGCAAGAATATGAAGCATAAGATATAGCTCTTCCAAGATGAAGAATTATAAATAGAAAGACAATTGATGCACCATTAGTAAACACCATCCATAATGTAATTTCTTTAATTAAAAGAAAAGTGAAACACGTGCTAAAAGCCTCGGTTTTTTCGAGCAAACTAGCGTCGGCTGCCCTATGCTGTGCTCCTTCGCCACAAACTATCCCGCACTCCATACATCTCGCACGCGGAACTTCCGAGTTTCGACACCAAAGAATCCCCCCTTAGTAATATTATACCGCAAATGAAATGCCCCTAGTTTGTGACTCTTTTTGAGCTCCCGGCTATACTGGGAATTTCCTCTGCGCTGGGTAGGTCCTCCACCTCCTAATAGGCGCATCCGCAGCAGGATTTGTCCCCTATACTCTTCATGACCCTCCCAGTCCTCATTCGGATGCGCAGCATCTTGACGAAAACCTGCCCATGCATGGTGTCCCTCAATCCCTGAGTCCAAGCCCGAAAATACCCAAAGCAAAGCCCTGAAAATACACCTGCCAGTAGGAGACGTCACACGCCTGTACGGGCAAACAAGTCATCAGGCTCGCTGTCGTTGGCAGCAGGCCGCGGCCTCAATTTGTGAACAAGTTGAGTTTTTGTTGCCGCCAATTGGTCAGCTGGGCTTTCCAAGTAATTAGTGTAAAGACCCACTTTAGAACCGCCCAAGCACTGCAGAAGCCTCTCAGAGGCAGCTCAAACTAAGCCAAAAAACCAGACACGACCAATCGTGGCGACCACCCCAAGCGCTGACGTTGCCGTGGTCTTACCCTAAGCAGGTGTGAGAGGGACCGGCATGCCAAAACACACACACACACACAACCACTGCTTGTGAGAGATGTGAGGAAACAAACAAAGAAACAACACCCAGCAGGCCGCAGGCGGGAACGCCTACTGCCGGGACAGACCGATAAGTGTGAGAATCACTGTGAGAACTGAAATTGGCTCATACAACGGGCCAGATGAGGGCACGGGAGCAGGGCTCAGGCATGTTTTTGGCTACCCGCACTGGCACGAGCGGGCATGAGATGCTGCAAAGTCCACATTCGTTTAGGGATTAGGAGTGTCAGGGGTTTAGGCTAGGGCTTAGGGTGTTGCTTAATGTTCTGAACCTGTGGGCTTGTCTGGGGCGCTGGCTCCAGGATTCGCGTCCCAACCTGTTGACGCTTGCGTCTGGATCGAATGATTAAAGGCCGGGGGGGCCGATGTACGTGATGGACTTTTCCACTTTCCTCCTCCCTGCTCGCGGGCGACTCACTTTTTTACGCTGCGCCGAGGAGTTCTTGTCGAGGAAACAGCTGCAATCCGACGTGTCACGTTCGGGATGCGCGGTGAAGTCCGTGAGGGGCAGGCGTGGCTGGGAGTGGTGATGTCCAGGAGCGTGAGCCGAGAGAGAGCATCTACGACAATCTGTGATTCTTAATGCCTGGCGACCTGAACTGACCAGAAGTTGACCCACTCGAGCTGGGATTGTAGCACCAGAATGCGGATGCAGCTGACCGGGCTGACGGGCATCTTGGGAGGATCACTGACCCCCTCCTCCCAGTAGAGTGCCCTCTCCCCCTTCACCGGCAACACATCATGAAACTTCGTGCACGTGCCTGTGCCATATGTTGTGCTGCTGGCTACTTGGATCATACCATTCCCAAGAAGATCCTTGGGGTAAAAGTCGCTTCCAAACTCGAAAAGTAAAGCCTTCACAGTAATTCCCGTCTTGAAAGATAGCGTGACATGCTGGCCGGCTTGAACATGGCTCGCCCACAGCCAGCAGCGCTTAACGCCGCTCTTCTGTTTGGGGCTGGCCGAGAAGTCGCACACATCCTTCCGCTTCGCGGGCTCTCCACCCGGGAAATAAAGGAATTTGGTGTCGTAGGTGGGAACAATTGTCAGATTCTTGCTGATGTTGGCCTCTGGATTGTCCCATAAGGTCTTGCCAAACTTCGTGTCCTGCAAGACCTGAAAGCCTTCGCCCAAGGAGCGAAAGACACCGACGTGTTGGAACAGGGAACCGTGATTCTTGAAGTACTCGATCTTCTTGCCTTGCGTCATGGCCATCATCCACTGGTTGATCAGGATATCACATGGCATCTGGTCATAGAACAGCAGGAGGAACTGTGCCAGGCGCGTAAGCTCGTTGGACTGGAAGAACTTCCCGATGAATCCCAGCTGCGAGAAATCGATCATCCTCCACGGAGCGTTCTCTTTGGACTTGTAGGTCGGCGGGTACGAGGATGTAACGAATTCCGTGATCTTTCCGATCCAGCCGTTTGCAAAATTTATGTCGTCCTCAATTTGCAAGTAGTAGGGAGCCAGTGTGGCGGAATAGTACATTAAAAATGCATAATCGATGTTTTGCTTGGAGCGCCATCTAACACGTTTCGAGTTATCCTTGTAAGTGCAGGCGGGAGGGCATATGTCCAGCGGCGGATAGAACTCCTCCTTCGCGTGCAAGCCGTGAAAGCGACCCGCGCTGATTAGATCGTGGTATTGCTCTTGAAGCTTGCCGGCTGTTTGATTGACCCAAGCAACATCGAAGTCAGCAAAATGAGCTACGATGACCACACTGTTGCGTTCCTCTGGCGAGACGCGGGTGTCGCCCTGCAGGCCAAGCATTAAGGCAACCGTGTCCAGCACATAGTCCTTCTTCCGCTTCACGCTGCCAAACCCGACGGCGATGGAAACGCTGGGAGGCACGCTGCTTCCGAAGAGCCGCAGCTCTTCCCGCGACACGGTGAACAACGAGGACTCCCTGCTCAGATGCCTGCTGGCAGGATCCAGGAGCCTTACTGAGTCCATGCTGGTTGCAACCGTCAGCGGAACTTTTGGGAGTGAGGCATCAGATCCTTTCGATGCGACCTTTGCTTTCAGGCCCTCCACTTCCTCCTCCAGGGCTTGAATGCGCCGGGTCTTCATCTCCAACACCCGGGTCATTTCTTGGATTTCGTTGTCTCGGCCGAGATCTGGAGCTGGCACAGGAGCTGGGGGAGCTGGGGGAGCTGGGGCAGCTGGGGCAGGAGTTGGCTCCAGGCTTGTGGTTGGCACTGATGGCACCTGTACCACTATCTGCATCTGGCCCGTCCAATGCAGCAAGGTCAAGTTTTGGACCAGGACCACGACTCCTGCGCAGCAGAACATCCGTCGCACCACCCAGTCACCCAGCCGCTTTGGTCCGGTCCCAACCGGGCTGTTTTCCACCATCTTTGGCACATAGAAACTTGCACTATAGTTGTTAGCCTAGGGCCTAGCCGTTTTTGCATGCTTGTCCGCTGAAGTCTCGTGAGTTCGATCGGATAAGGCGTTTTCCCCTCTGATAGGTGATGCGGCCGCAGGGCAAGCTCCAAGTCTCCAAGTTCAAGGCTCAACAGGTCACAGGTAGAGGGCTCTGTTCGCAGTTCTGGTTCAGGTGATGGACCAAGCCCGACCCTCGCTACCGAACCGACCAAACCCCTGATCATCTTGGCAAATCTCCGCTGTTTCGCAGGCTCCACACTCAGTCGTGGACAAGCTCTTGTTTGGAGTACGCGCAGCTTGGCCCCATACGTCGAGGAGCCTGCTGAATCAGAATGAAACCAAGTGTCCAGAGTCGCGGTTAGGAGTGCGAGCGCTTTAAGCCAAGCCGCGACAAAGACGTCTGCCTCATCAAAGCTCTCGCCTCGGAATGTCACCAAGAAGCCGAGAGGTGCGACTGAGATAAGAGCGGCATTGTCAAGTTTTCGTGGGAGGGTCGAGTGCTGACTTTGTCCCCAACTGTTGAACGGCAAGACCTTAGCAGCTTGGCTTTCAGACTTCCCCCCAGGGTGTCCCATTGTGCATGTGGACAGCAAGGCGAAGCTGAGCCCGCCACACCGGTTGGTGGTCGCAACGCGCCCGCACGTGGATAGGCAGAGGCCAGGGCTGAAGCGCTTCCTGTCAGAGTGTCGAGATTGTTGAGGACTCTCAGGGCACTGCGCCATCGTTTCCTCCTGGTCTGTCGTGACAAGAGTTCTCGGTTTCAGAGTCAGACAGCCTCGGCCCAAGCTCGCATCTCAGGAACAACGCACTAGGCGGCAAAGAGATGCAAAGGTTCGCCTTTCGACTGGGGTGGAAACTCTGGAAGCTGTGGACGCTCGCCAGGCTCTGGCTCCAGGAAGCTTGCGAACTCCGTCTCGGACCTTGCCAAATCACGCGATTCCTGCCCGGTCGCCCGGACAGGTCCCCCCCTGTTAGCTGCCCACTCCAACGCTTGCTGCGCCAAAGACCTGAGGCACAGAAATAGAACGTGCGGCAGTGAAGCCGCCCGCACCCTTGCATTTCTAGGCCCTGCTCCCTGCAAGTGGGATGAAGGTCATGTGTAGGCCCCTCATCGGCTGGCCTCCCAAAAGGGGCTTCCATGACAGCCGTTGATGACCCCGCATGCTACAGAATGCTGCAGTCGAAGGCCAGCCAAGAATCGGGCCATCTGGTCCCTCTCCAACTGTTGGCCTGCAAAGCACATAACAGCAGGTCTGATGGGCTGCTGGCAATCAGGCCCCTGCAATGGGGTGCTTCTGGCACACGGGCGCTTGAGGGTCAACCTGCGCATGAGTCCGTGGGACTCCCAGGAAACATCCAGGAAACATCTGAGCCCCTTGAGACGCTCGCGTATCACTGGGCCCCAGCTCCTGAGCAAAACAGGCTTCAAACGGTCCCTGCAAGAACCTCTTTTCTCCAAGGCTCCCTTTCATCACCTCAGTGCGAATTGCTATAGAACGTCTGCGACACTGTGCTTCGCTCTTGAAGAACAAACATCCGTCAAGGAGCCGGAAGTGCAGACAATGCTGTAGTTCAGAGTGACACCAGCGGCACTCAGAACCTTCAAAGACGTTGCCCTCAACCCACGCGTGCGGAATTGTTGTCATGACTGGTGAGACAAGACTGATGCGTGCTTGGGGCTGGTGCCCGCATTTTGAAGCGCCAGTCGGGTGGCTCGGAGGACCTAAGAATCGTCTGCGCTATCCGGTGGATCTGCTCCAGCAAAACTTCCCTAGCAAATTCCACAGTCAGAGAGTCTCCAGCCGGGGATTGTTTTTGCGGATGGCTAAAATCTCGAAGTGATCCTGCTGGCATGGCTCCATCGGGCGACGCCCCCCTAGCACTTGTTGGACCCGAGCGCCTGCGCCATGATCGAGCCCCACAGCGTGCCTGCTTGTCCAGCTCATGGAAGTTCATCATGGAAGCTATTTCAAGCTACGTCTCGGAGCACATGGCACTGTAGATCCTACGCGAACCTCAAAGAATGACCCGGCCTCCTTTGAGCACTTCGTCCGTAAGGATGCGCTCCCACAAACCCCCTGCAGACCGGGTTCGAAGGGTTCGAGCTGTTCCGCGTCTTGACCTCGCAACTCTGAAAGGGTCTGCGGGCGTGGCTTTGGTAGAAGCGGCCGATGCGAAGCCAGGGTGACGCTGCCTGTTGTGTGCCGATGCGCTGACGTGGCAGACGAGGGATTTCCGACACACGGCGTCGCATCTTTTGTGCCAAGCTCCAGGTCACATCAGGTCACACCAATCAGGTTCACGAGTTCTTGAGCTTCAGTCGCTGCTTAGGGGTTCCCAAGCTCCCAAGGATTTACACAAGTTGGGTGGTACGAGATGTTTCGAGTTCGGCGCACCTCGGAGGCTGGCTCGCAGCCGAAGAGCTGCCTTTCCTCGGATGCGCAACAGAAGAAAAAGCATTCAGTAGAGGAGTGAAGGTAGAGTGGAGTATAGCTGAGCAAGTGTCTCGCGTTCCGCAATGCAGGGCTTCAGTGCTTCGGAGCTTTGTAGACTTTAGGGAGCTGCTGCCGGAGCTTGGGCATGCGCTTCAGCAGGCAGCCACCCCCGAATTTCGTCTCCGTGTACCTTGTCACGAGAGGCAACTACCGAACGGACAATCCTTGCTGGCGACTTTGCAAAAACTGGCCTCTTTGGAGGCTTCATACTTTACATGTTAAAGGTGCCATGAGCGCCTCCAAAGCGTACAGGGCATCCGACGGCGCCGGTGCCGATGCCGACGCGCGCCTATCTCAACCCTTTTTCTGGCAACAGCCACAGGAAACAACTTGCAGATGCTCAGGCCGATGCCAGCGGCCGGCGACCGTTCCATTCGGAGGACGTTGCAGTTCCTGGGGAACCGCTCCAATGACCCTTGCAGGTGACTTGCAGTGATTCATTGGTGTCCTCTTGACTGTCGAGGTCATCAAAAGGCCTCAGTGAAATTCCAAGCTTTAAGAACTTTACGCAAAGCGTAGATGAAGTTGACGACAGACTTTCGAGGTCGGTACCCCTTTGTTGGTTGCTGTGGACCAGGTGCCTTCGCGCACATGTCGCACTCCCACTCACATGCTCTCTTACGGGGGGGGTGCTTAAGCAAGCAGAGGCTGACCCCAGACGGTGCTTCGGATTCTGTTTTATGGGAGGTGCTTTGGCCTTGGATTGTGGGATCTCGGCATGGGACCTGGGAGGTGCTCTTTGTGCTTTGGATTGTAAGGGATTTACTAGTGGCGCTGAGACCTGAAGGCGTAGGGAGGGGCCCGGGTATAGGATGTGAGGTTCAGCCTCTGATTTGCTGCTAAAATTTTGGGGGCTCTCTGGGAGGAGATCCTCCTCCTCCTCGCTTGGCCGGGCGGTGGGCAGCGCTGCCGCCGCGGGGCTCGGGCCAAGCACCTGCCACGTGAGTTGGGGAAAACCATGGGAAACTCTCCTTCTCCCCCTTGTTTCTGCTCGATGCGGGGGCGGATGGGAACTCAGCTGCTCAACCCCTTCATCTCCCGTGCTCTCCTCGCCGGGTCTCAGCCCCCGGAGTACTTCTCATCAGAGAATCCCTGGGTGCCCTACTGAGTGCCGCAATCGAGAAACGACACCACCGAATGATCCCTGCAGTGCCCGTGGAACTACGTTGGGGGGGAGTGGCGACGTTCGAAGCATTGGCCCTCACACTTCCCAGGCCTCCCTCCCCTCCCTCCCCACGCTTTGTAAAAGAAGCCTCGAACTGGAAGACAACGAACACTTTCTTCTGGCTGTCCGCAGGTGACGATACGGGATGCGCCTCAGACATCGTTGCACCGGGTCGGAGCCCATGACCAACGGACAGCACGCGACAACTGCCCGTGCATCATGCTGTCTGGCTTGAGGCAGAGGCGGCCAGGGACAGCACGTCTCCATGTTCCAGCGCATGCTCTCCTGTACCTGCACGATCTTTGAAAGGAGCGAGTCAGGGCTTGTGTACATGTCTGTCGAACATCGAGTGCATTTCCATCCAAGGCCCCGGCTTCTGTCCATGTGCTTTCCATTCAGGAAGAACGAATTCTGTGACAGGCAGATGACGCCAAAGGACACCTGGATTTTTGTGACTTCATGAACTACTTGCACCCGGCGTGCTCATGCGGAGCTTTTGCTTCGTCAGGCCTGGGGTATACCCAGGTGCTTGGAAGAGCTGCGTGCAACTACCTGCAAGCACCCCAGGGTTGCCATTTCCCTGGTCAAGTCCAAGGTGGCTCTCATGCCCTGCGAACCTTCAGGTGCTCGCGAGAGATGGTCGAGTGGTTGAACCTTCTCCAAAGAATTGAAGCAATCTGAGGCTCGGCGTGAGAGGCTGCTTGAGGCTGGCCTGTTGGGCACCAGAGTCTCCCACACCTTGACGAAAAAGGAAGTGCAAAGAAAAGCTGCGTCAACCACACCAAACCCAATGTGCTTGTTGGGCTGCACAAGCCCCATCTATACACTAAACTTTGCCCGAAACCACCCAAAGCCATTCTCAACTTGACCGGAACCCGGAACCTGCCCAAGTCTCCCCCGAGCTTCCCACGGCATTCGGCTGGGCTGTTCGGCCAAAGATCGATTCCGCTTTGCCGCTGCCCGGCCTTTGCGTCGACTTGCGGGTTGTTCTGAAGGGTCCCCCTCTTGGTTGGGTACCGTGTATAATCCGAAGTCCTTCTCAAACCAACTCCCGCAACCTTTTGTGCTAAGGGGCCCTGCCTAACAGGGACCCCCCCAACCTTGTGTACGGGAGCCCAATGGGAGACCTGCAGGAAGAAAGAAACCGCGCAACCTTGCCCGGTTCTTGCGGGGCTCCGGCACAGCACGCTGTTCGGAGGTCAGCTTGGCCAAATCCACTCCCTCAGCATAGATGCACCTGCGGGCAACAGCAATGCAGAAGACCTCGCTCGTCAGCGCTAGCAAACTCCACCCAATCTGAGCTCATTGCCACAAGCGGTATGGTGGAACCACCTGCAACCCAAGAAACATGGGCATCAGGACGGCCACATGTGCGCGCGCGAGGGCCCAGCGCTAGGGTCAAGGACGTCCGCATTGCCATCGACTGCTTGAACTCCTCGCATCAGCACGATGATAGTCACTTTGTGTCACAGTCTTGCGAAGCACACAATGTGGATGCGAAGTCGCACTCGGTTCGGGTAAGACCATGCGCTCATGCAGCTAGGCCAAGGGCCACATGAATTGAGTCATCTTGGGATGTGTGCGAGTGGGCAGCGGCCATGTGGGAGCTAACGCACACGCTCTATTGACGCAATCTGGGACCCCGCTCCCTCGCAACCTGGAGTTCTCTGCTGGCACTGGCTGACGAGTTTGGCTACCCAGAGGTAGAGGTAGAACCTCGGCCTAGCCTTCGATTTTCCCTCTTCAGGGCTTAATGAGGCCTGACACCGAATGCACTGGGGCATTCGGCGGTCTTGAAAACGCCTGGAGGATTTGGAGAGCTGTGTAGACGTGGAAACAGGGACGGTCTACGCAGCAGTGCGGAGCAGAGGCGAGTCGTGCCTGATCGCAACAATCACAACTTGTTGCCCCGTTGCTTGGCGCTCCCTTTGGGTAAGGTTTGCCCTCAGACATCCCAGCGGCTGCGCTGTTGCCGAGGTTTTTTTCGTGAAGCATCGCGACGCAAACTGTGCAAGGGCTAAATCTTGCCTGCCCCATCCACTTTGAGTGTAGGCCAATCTTTTTCCCTTGGCTCACAAGCGCATGTTCAGGACAAGGATGCCTTTGATGCCTTCCTGCCTTTGATCCTGGGGCCACTTCTGGTCTTGCAATGGTCTTGCACAAGCTGCAAAGCACAAAAGCTTGCTGGACTTGGCCCCGGCGAATCAGCGCTTCGCTCAGGGTTTGGAGGTGCTGGCGCCTCGGACAGAATCAGAAGAGAGAACACAACATAACAACATAACAACATAGAACATTCCGCCGCTAAGCAAACTGAAGGTCTATAGCCTATAGCAGTCTAGCATGCCCCCAAGCTGGACCCGTCACAACTCGTCAGAAACCACCTAGATTCTCTAGATCTTGTGGACTCATTGTCATTGGCTGACTCGAAAGTACGTCATCTTGCCCGTCTGCCTTTCCCTTCACCTACAGTACAGCCTAAACTCAACAACACCAACATTTTGCTCCTAAACAAATCCAGGCAACCTTTGGCCTGGGAGGTGGAGCTGGGATGCCGATCCTGGGCTGCTTCAGGATCTTGTCTTGCTAAGGTTTGCACCGCAGGCTTTGCAGCGGCACTTGGTAGCCCACCCCGCGTGTGCCGGCACGGGTGCAGCAGCAACCTGACGCTGAAAGCACTGAGGAGCGGAGAGGAGAGGCGCCCAAGTCCGGATGCAGATTGCTAAGCACGCCGCTCGCTGAGGCGCAGCGGCACCGCGACCTTGAGGCGGGGGCCTTGGGCAGCCGTGGATGGCTTCGCGCAGCAATGCAACCCGAACGACTGAAGCCCCGCACGGTGGCGGCGGCGGGAGCCCCACCGGCTGGCCCGGCTGGCCCGGCTGGCCCAGCTGGCCCGGCTGGCCCGGCTGCTGGAGCGGCTGCAGAACCGGCTGGAGCGGCTGCGGAACCGGGACCGGAACCGGCTGGTGGCCAAGGTGGCTCTGGCCCTGATGGCCCTGGCATTTCTTTCTTCTTTGCTTCAGCACTTGTTTAACAGCAAGCAGAGGGGAGGCCTCGGATTCTGCTCTGCTGACACCTGGGCGGCGCGAACCCGAACTCCCAAAAGCCCCGAGAAAGTATTCTGAGGCTAGGAGTCCCCACGCCATCCGACAGGTGTGGCCGGCACTTCGGTCCTCAGTAAAATTGTCGGGTGTCTGGCAGCGCACGCACCAGACCGACAAGAGCCTCTCCAGCCGAAGGTTGGCTGAGGGAACTGTCAGCTCGATCTCTCCCGAGTCGTACCTGCAGATTCCATGCCCGCCCATTCAGCACAAGACCAGGAATGGTGAGAGGACTGGATCTGGAATGTTCCATTGCCGTTGTCCTTCAGGATCTGTCCACGGAGCCTGTGCCAGGGAGCGTGCTCGCGAGGTTCCGGCTTTGAAAGTCCAGAACTCTATAGATTTGCCAAGAAGCCAAACTCCGCTTCCACGGTAGCGGCTCAGGACGCCCAGACCAGCCTGGAAACTTCCCAGTAACTGAACTTCGTTGTTGGAACAGGACAAGAAGTGAGCTCGATAAGCCCAAGGCCGATAGCACAACTCGTCGCACGGCTTGGGGTTTCTGCTCACGCTCCCGCGACTTGGGAAGCCTTAGTAGCTGGGAAGTATGACCAGGAAAACGTTGAGAGTCATTGGCAGAAGCCAGTAATGACTCGTTGTCAAAATTTCAGGCATGGAGCTAAGTTTAGCCCAAAAAACAGACCGCTATTTATAGTTCTTCTGAAGTGCTGTCGCGCCATATGAAACGCCATGTCAAGCGATTTCTATGGACTCGTGCCGTTTGCACGAGTCTCCATTCTTGCATATGATTCTCAGGTGGAGCATCCAATCTGGCAGCAAGCCTGAGCCATTGGGAATGGGATGCTCTCACAACCCTTGTTGTATGTCTACTTCAAGCTTTCAGAGTTAAAGGGCGGGCAGGCAGGCAGGCAGGACCCGCTCACCCACGCACTCATGCACCCGCCCCGCGCATGTGTGGAGACAAGTTGACTGTCGAATGCAAGCACTCAGGCCTGCTCATGGCAAGAGTGCATGGCACTGCTCTGCGTTATGAAAGGCTTTGTCGCAAATTATGTCATGTAGGAAAAAGCTGTGCAACGCAAAATTGGCGCAAGAATCCTTCGGTTCACGCGGATCAGGCTTCCCACTTCTTGCGCTCCCAAGCGTGGAATTTGCCACGAAGCACATGTGATGTTGACATGGCTTGTGAGGCCTTTCCAGGGTGGTAATTGGTTCCGCACACACACACACAATGGGGCATGGCGGCCAAAATCCGAAACCACGGAAACGTGAGGGAACGCCTTAGGGCTTTCCAACTGTTCTGAAACGCTTCCACGACTGACAAAGGTGCAGCCAAAACGCCCTTGATCCTGGGACGAGACAGCAGAGCCTTCCAAAAGCATCGCGATTTGCAGCACTCGGTACACACGCGTGCATGGAGAACATGGAAGCATGAGAGCAGGCTGAGATCACCACCGTTAACAGCATCTGTGGCGACACCAGCGGAAGACTGGCATGCAAGCTGGCAACTTTAGTGACTTCAGCGCTAAACAGAAACTGTGTGTGCAAACGTTTGAAGTTTACACTCAGCCCAGCCCGTACAGTATTGGCCATCTTTTCCTTCCGCGCCGTGTTCCAGCATGCGAGAAGCTGACTTGTCCAGTAGTACGCCAGCACTCTGTTGTAGCTGGTCCAGCCTCGGGGCAAGCAGGCGTTTGTTGAAAGTCACTTCACTTCAAGATCTTGCATTGTGCTAGCTCAAGGTGAGGTCCGACAAGCTTGCGTGCGCAGCATAGGTTCTAGGTTTCCACTCTTCGAGATCTTCTCCGAAATCTCTCAAGACTGGACTGCTTATTTAATTCGCCTCGGCTTCCTGCCGAGAAGCGTTTGGAACAAGCAAACACTGATCCGGTCTCCGTCCCCCAATGCCAAATTTTGTGCGTCTGGGAGCCCCCCGCCATCGCTTGGAGGAGTTGCAAACCGATGCCGTGGGGTCCCGCCTGTCGGCCGCTCCTAAAGAGAAGGCACTCCAAAACGCACGAAGACCCCCCCTGGCACCCCTTTTTTGTGAGGCCCTCTTTCCTTCTTTCCTGTGGGCCGGCCTGGCTGCCGCGGCGGCGCGCGCAAGCGACAAAAAATCTGTGTCTTGCCGTCTCGGCAGTAGGAATGCGTCAACCTTTCTTTTCTTTTCTGCATGTTTCGAGCCACTGGCCCACATGCAGCAAAGCCGCAGGTTCGGAAGCCACAAGGTACCACGAGCACCACCTCCATAAAGGCACAGCAAGTGAGCCAGATGACTTCTGAGAGTCCACGTGCGCATCTACAGCACCCAAGCCACACCTGAGGCTTCGCAGGCTGTCACTGCCGCGCAGAGCACGGAGGGTTCCTGAAAGTGACAGCAGAAACCAACACGGCCAACACATGCCGACACTGTCCGCAAAGCTTGGAAGTTCAAGTAAGCTGCGGGGTCCACAGAGACAGAGGAGCGGAGCCGCGCCAAGAAGGCCGTGGCCATCTCCCACTGCCGCTGACCACGACTGCCGCAGGCGCGCGCCGCGGCAAACAGAGCCAAGTCTCCTGTCTACAGTGAACGGGGGGGCGGTCGGTTTTGTGCACTTTTGCTTGGGGGGTGTGCTTCCATGCTGGATACCAGATTCCTAGCTCTCTCTCTGTCTTTCGTGACAGCCTGGCTGAAAGGACTGGAGCTGCATGCCAGACAATGCCATCTGCGCTCGCAGCCAACAAGCAGACTTGCCCAAGCAATCGGTCAAAGCGTTGAAGGTCGCCATCGATGCAGAACCCTCAGAAGCTGCCAACTCGTGCAAGAAGAGCGCGTGGCTCCATCGGAAGCTGAATTCACAAGCACTGATGGCCATTGCGTAGATGAGGGTGGACTGCGAGGTGGGTCCTTCTGTCAGAAGAACCTTGGCTGCACTCAACGGCCGCCAAACATGAAGCAGAACCAAATCATCGCAACATGCGCTTGGGCTGGCATTGCTGAGCCTCGCGCTCGAGAAGACTGCAAGACCTGGTAGAAGCGCATCGCCTCAGAACTTCATCAGCGCGTCTTGTACAGCTGCCTACGGTCGTGCACGGGCCGCGTACAACGAATCACTTAAGAGCGTACTCATGCTACGGCGATCTGCCCCGGCTTTTTCAGGTTGACCAAGTGGCCCAGTCCCACACCCCAGCCTGAGAACAAGCGTCCAGAGCTGCACCTGTTGCCTCGGGGCCGTGTTTGACCCCGGAGCTCTCCATGGCGAGGAGCATGGTCGCCTTGTCTATGTTCCTACTACCCTTGTCTACCCTTTCAATAAAGGGCTCCGTGTTACAACAGGAACCCCAAAAAAGCGACTGCAATTTAGAGAACCGGCTGCTTCAAACAAAGGGCGACCAGATGCCATGCAGTCTAGCGGCCATTTGCTGCCAGCCCGAGACACTCCTGCAAGAGGAAATAGCCGAGGTCCATGTTACGACGTCCGGCCGAAGGTTCCTGGTTGCTTGTTAACAATCTTTCATCCTTGTTACCTCAGGTGCTCAGAAACCTATCCGACGAGCGGCGACTCGCGAAGCCCAGAAGAGCCCAAGCCATAGAGCAGCGCCAGCTCCCATTTGCAGCTGCGATCGAAAGCCGCCAGCAAGCTGTTGTAGGCCATCGCATCAGGTCCTGAAGAGCACCCAGCCTTTGAACCTCAACACCGACGAAGACCACAAGCGACCACTGTGCTTGCGGTCTCACCCTAATTAGCAAGCAAACAACTCGAAGTGCTAGCTTATGTCCTCAATTACACGCCTACTGGCTCCACAGGCTGTGGACAAAGCACGCGGGGAGCAGGCCTCCTGTGTTCTGATGCCGCTCCCCCGCTGCCCGCGCAGCCCGCAACTGACCCATCAGACAAAGCCCAAGTTCCCAAGTCTGGCGGCCACCTGTCAGAATGCGGAGGACCCACTGCAAGCGATCCAAATACTGCAGGGGACTGGACGTGTTGGGCATCGGTCTACGAGTCTTACGAGTCTACAGGGCCTACAGTGCCTTAGCCTTACAGTCACTTGCAGTCGAGCCTGAGGCAGGCAGCGCTGAAGCTCCGAAAGCGCCCACAGCTGCACTCACAATGGCGGAGTTGAGGCGGAGCCTTGAATTCTGAAAATCTGCAAGGACGCTGAGCAGGCCCTCCAGCTGTTGTCCCTTTGCCAGGGCATGGAGAACCACTCCAAACACAGCTACGTCATGCCGCACCGCAGCCATTTTCAGGAGCTGCAATGTGTGAAGCCACTGTCCTGCTTTGGAGCAAGTCCCAGCCACGGCTGTAAAGAATTGAGGATCCGGGCCGATCTCTGCTACTACGGCCACTTGCTCACAGGCAAGCTGCCATGACGCACGCGCTGAAAAGGCTCCAGCTACAGCTGTGTGCACTTGGATGCTTGACTGGACTCTCATCCATGCCAGTTGCTCAAGCACTCCGAGGGCCTGAGGCCAAGTCTGTGCCGAAGCACCCGAAGCACAGGCTCGTGCTTGAAGCGAGGCTGCGTCGTTGATGTCTTTCTCACTGGATTCGATCCTCAGTAAGGACCTTGCCAGCTGCCAGTTGCTTCCAGACAGTGCTGCGTGCCGTGCAGCCGCGTCAGCCTCTACTCGCATGCTGCTCATCAGGTGTAGGGTATTGCCCGCTTTCTGCCAGAGGGCCATGTTGGTGAGTGAGCTCAGAACTATTGTGAATTCTTTTGCTGTTTGCAACCAACCAGAAGCTCGCAGCAAATCGATCGCCCGCAATGCTTCCTGTCATGAGCGCAAGAACGGCTTTCGGCTGTCGAAAAACTTGCCAGCCATCATGTTTTCATCGCCAGCTACTTCTGCATCCAAGTCGCGTGATCCGTGCCTGTTGGAGCTTGCCGCTTCCCTCATGAAGCAGTGAGCTGACCAAACGACATCAAAACGCGCTGCAGGCAGCATTTCCTGACAGCACAAAGTAAGCGCGCGTCGTCGGAGGATGAGCCTGAGCAGCTCGGCCTTTCTCGCAGGTCTCGGCGCCATGGGGCCATCGCGTCGTGCGACAGGACTGGTCATGTGTGAGGGGGCTCTGTACAAGGCCGTGAATTCCCCCAAGAGCCTCAGGGCATCGCAGCAGCGAAGCAGGAAGCAATAGCAAAGTTTCGTCGCATGTCACATGTCTGACGGAAAAACTGCTGAACCAGCTCAAGGCAGGCTCACCTGGTGAAGCTCCCTTAGCTCCTCCACCAGCAGCTTGAAGAGTGGCCGCTCTGCTGGGACCCTGCGAAGTTCTGAATTCCAAATCTCATGAGGTCTCAACGTTCTCACACTTTCTGGCGGAAGGATGCTTCTCAGGCGCAGGCTGTTGGATACAACGGAACGACACCTCACTCTGCATGTCATGCACAAGGCCCCCCATACGAAGCATGTCATCCGTGGCTCCCCTTGTGATCTTCCGTGTTCTTTAGAGCGTTGCTCACCCCACGTCTGTGATCCTAAGGTCAACCGTCCCCGCGACTTCACTACACGAAACAGCTGAAAACAACACACCAGCTCCCTCACTCCCACGTGCATGCCCGCGACAACCCACGGCGCTGACTTAGGCTGACTTGGGCTAACTTGTTGCCCTGATTTTCATGCGACAGGGGCCCCGGCGTCTGTCATCGCCTGTGAGATGGACGGCGGGAAGTGGGCTGTTGAATCCAGCATCTGCGACACCTGCACCATGCAGACGCCGCCGACATGCTTGGCATCAGGCACTAAGCAGACATGTGGTACACGTTAAGAACTGCCGGGGCATCCGCGATAGCATGGCATGTTGCAGCATTTGGCCTTAGTTTTGCTCCCGCGGATGTGGTCCACCAAGTAGCTGAACCTCCATTCAGCACAGTGTCAGGGTGCCAGGTTCACAGCACGAGTCTGCAAAAAAAAACCATCTTTTTCATGCTCGAATGCGTCCCTCGCCAGGTCAGCTGGCAGGGAAGAAGCTTATCCGAGGCACCCTGTGCCAAGGCACTCAGAAATTCTCCCCTTGCTGAAGCCACATCCAGGCACTGACACGCAGGTTTCTTGGGTTGCAGTTCAGGTGGCCTCGTTTTGATGGACAAAAGCACTGAACCGCATGCTGCTCGTGGATGCCTATCCGAGTCTGTCCGCGTGGCTGAACTTTCTGCAGGGGCTCGGACTGAGGACTGTGCCCAAACAGTCACACTCTGTCACGCTATAAGCTTCTGGATGGAGATGATCGATGCCAGCCCGCCACAGAGAACACCGAAGACCAGGATGGTAGACCATGAGATTGCGATGCGGACGCGGCTCACGCAGATGCCTCTCGATCGGCTCTCAGCTAGCAGTGCTAAGTGCGGCAGGATGTAAATGCAAACGGAGTTGCCCACGGCCCCAGCAGCTGCCAGGAAATCGGCGAATCGTGGAACCACCAAGGCCACAGCAGCTATGGACAGCACCGTCGCGCTTCTCCAAGCCCTTTTCCAAACATGGCTGTGGCAGGGATGGAGTACCTCCCAGTTTCGGAACAAGACAAAAAGACCGGTAGGGAACGTGAACAAGAGTTGTGCGACGTAGCAGAGCACCGCAACTCGGTTGATGGCTGTCAAGTCAAACCCCTTCGACATTGTGACTTCCTGCGCAACCTCACCATGCGTGATGTACGAATACAGGAAATCCCCGCACACGGCCAGAACCAGGTAGTTTGCGGAAAAAAACGCCACGGAGAGGAAGATCGAGGAGCGGAAGAGCTCGGGCTTCTGCATCGAAGCAGCCACACTCGGTGAAATAACAACCAAACCTTCGTTGCAAAAGACCGCTAGCCCCATGGCCACAGGAAAGGTGCCCATCCGCATGAACGGCTCGGAGGCCACGTAGTCCGGCAACTCGTGCATGTGAGGGGCAACGTGGACAGCAACAAGAACCACAAACAGTTGACCTGCAAGCAGGCCCAATTGCGATAGGCGCTCCAGAACGGCTACCTCATCCACCCATGCGGAAAGCGCGACTGGCCCGACTACGATTAGGATCCAGTCCGCACTGGACATGTGGAGCGGCAGGAAGCGCGATAGGTTGTCTCCGATGAACTTCAGCCACGCGACTGCAGAGCCCCAGTTCGCTACGATCAAGGACAGCACGGTGAGGTTTTCACCTGACAGAGGTTGCGGGCGGTGGCTGAATGGCGACAAGTTGCAGCCTAGCCACGTTCCTGACCCAAACCCTGAACCCAGCCAAAACCATCAATGCAAAATTGATTAGTGCAGCTGACAGAGCATCGGCAAATGGTATATTCGACTAACATGAAAACCACATTCTTCATGGGAACTATGGCGAAACATGCGGATTCTTCTTTGCTGCCGACTCCAACGATACCATGCAGACCCTCAAGATCCCTCAAGGCAGCCTGCACGGCCCAAGGACCTTCCAATGACCAGCACATAGGATGCCTCACGCACCGTCGGGTCATAGCATTTCTGCAGTTGCTGTAGAACTGCTGCAGCATCAACGGCCAAGAGCATGCTGAGAAGGAAGAATAGGATCCCGGATGCAAGGCCTGCGGAATGAAGATAGAAAGGCATCGCGATCATGCCGATGCCCCAGTTGACTTTGGTGAGCACAAGTGCAGCCCCGACGACGCCCAGGCCATGGTCCCGATGGCTTGCGCATTCCGTGCCTTCCAGAATTAAAGGAGACTCGTTGCTGGCCGGATTCATGACTCAGAGCCGAACTTCAGGGGCCGGGTGCGACAGTCTCACCCCTCTCCAGCGAGCTAACATGCACAGGTGATTCGATCTAGACTGGGGGTGATTTGGGAATCTTGTTTGGGGATGGTGCTTCTACTACTTCTGTCCACTAAGCTAAGGCATCGACTGGAGTTCTCTTAGGGGCTTAGGGGTTCGGGGAGATTCAGAGGAGCTCCGCAACCTAGTGTTTAAGACGAACTTTTTACACACTGCGTCATTGCGCAACAAGATTCGAGAAGGCATATGTGCATGTTCACGCACTCCAGCCAGTGACGCAGACGTGAAGAGCGGGAGCTATCCGGTAGATAGCCTAAGGCCTTCTGTGGCCATAGTGGCCATAGACGCCGGCTTGTCTAGGCATTGACTTGGGCATTGACTTGGCGTCGATCACTGCTCTTGTCGGATGCTCTGGAAGTCGCTCCAAATCCTCCGTCTGACCTCTGGACAAACTTTTCTTGTAAGAGTCCGCTGAGCCAGTTAGAGCTGCGCAGCCCACCGCGAGCACACCAAAGCAGAACAGCAGAAACGCCACAAATCCTATGATTCCAAACACCTTGATGTAGTCAGTTGCCTCCTCTGTCTGCACTCCTGGTCCACAAGCACGAGCCACGCGCTCCCCAGCTACCATTGTGGCAGCCTCAGGAAAGGACCTGGAGCACTCATCAGAATAGCCATACCAACAGCCGTCCTGTGTGCTATGTTCCCAAATTGAACAGGCAGAATCGGCATAGCAAGCGTCCCTGCATTGCAGAACTTCTGTTTTGTAGGTGCCGATGGCATTTTTTGCCCTGACGTCGGCTTGCTTCATGCCAATCCCACGGCACCACCGCCCTTTTTCCAAACGGATGGTCTCTGAGACGGTGCCATGGGAGATACGCTGGCCGGCTAAGACAAGAAAGTCATCAAAGCGTTCGCTTTGGCATTCCAGGCCACGGCCAGTGTAGCATTGTCCAAGCCTTGCGCCGGAGTTTTCTCGCGTGTTGCCCCACTGCCAAACCTCGCAGTCGGCATCGTCACAGCAAATGCCTCGGCATTCTTCTTGGGTAAATTGTGTACTCTGTAGCTGCAATCCCAGACAGAGGCCTTCCCAGCCGTTGGCCACATCTTGGATCACTTGGCATCTCCCACACGGAATGGACATGGCGACAGGGTAGCAAGGTTACGGAACGGACAGAGCCCTTGATCAACCAGATGCAATCGGACGTCAAACAATGGGGGGGGCAAGCACATGATACAAGGATGGGACTGGTTATTGAACTCGGGCCCCTGAATCGGGAGTCCTTATGTTTCAATCTCGTCATAAACTCCCCATGACACTCGGACACTGAGCTCCCGGGCTCTCCGGGGCAGTTGGGCTTAGCAACTGCTGGCCTCACATCGGAGGCCCTTTTTAATGGGCCCTATGTTTCTGACGGATGAAGGAAACCGCATGCTTGGAATCTGGCGGAGCACCAGTGAGCACTTCTAGAACCACCATCCCGAAGCTGTGCACCTCCAGTGGCATGGATCCTCCATGGCTTTCCAAAGTTCGGACAAGCGGATACCCTAGTTAGCCCTGCGTGTGACCTCGCTCCCTTCAGTGATGATGCCGGTCCGTATGTACCTGGCAGCAAACGGAGACCAATACCCTCGCTCCTGGACAACCGGCCAGCAAACGATGCAAGGCAAACTCTGGGCAAGCGTAGCCGACCGTGCCACTAGCCTTCGGTGCATGCAGCAGGCCCAACACAACTTGCATTCTGCAAACCACATCAAAGAGCTGTTGGCTCCCTTCCCCACAAAGCGTAGCAGCCAGAGCCTGTTGAACTTTGTGCTGGGCACCCGTTGACACCTTTCAATCATCCCCGGCGGCGATGCGTGAAGACGAGTCGACGCAGTACAAAAGCTAGGGAACACACGCAAGAAAGCCCGAAGTCTGCCATTTTGGCCGTGCCTGTCAGCTCATGTGCTGCCCCTGGCCATAAGATAGATCGCAATAGGGCGCCAGCCGTTCTTGTCAAGGAGAATGTTTGGGCCCTTGATATCGCGGTGGAATGCCTTTGCAGGGATTTTCCTGGCAAGCACACAAGATACCGCCGACGCTGCTCAGTTGCGAACCCGTGGCGTCATGTTGTGCAGGTGAGACAACCCGCAAGCTGCATCCAGAACTGCACTCAGCCGTGCTCTCCAATCGAACCTGGCAGGCGCACTGAGAGTAAAGCCTAGACGATCGTACGGATCTCTTCCTTTTGCTGAGTTTTGCCCATCGTTTCGTGACTTGGCTCGCGCACGCGAGGACCCAAAACAGGCCACGCCGGGCGGCTCATTGTGATTCCTGCTTCTCTGTATCCGCCGGGTGACCTAACGCAAAACACAAAACCCTAACTGAAACCCAACATCCTCACTCTTGCGATTTGTACAAGACATGTGTTGCTTTGCTGTGGCTGAGTGTCAAGCATCGCCGCCAGCCAAGTACTCGTAGATGAGACTTCTCCAGCCCCTGCCATGTTCTGCGTCGCAAACCGTTTATCGGATAAGGGCGGTTCGATTCTCTTCATTAAAACCCCGCCAACTAACTCCACGAAATGTTTGCGGTCAAAGTGAAACGAGGGGCCGTCTGCATGTGGGAGGAGCAACGCAGGACAGGATCATGTTTCTTCGCAATTCCATGCTCCATCACGGCTGTTAGCCGTGGGCAGGGAACAGAACACGATGCCCAATCACTGCTCACTGACGAAACGAAGCAGACGCGAAAGTGCGAAAGTGTTCAAGCATGTTACATTGTTCATGCCGAAGTTGTTGGTCTATCCGCAGTAGCAGCAATTGTCGGCTGTTTGGCGCAGAGCTCAACATCCAACTAGGCCTCTTAAATGGCGGTGTCATCGGTGTCGTACGCAAGCGTTACGGCAGACGGCACAGGTTTCATCTGTACACGCCCTGTCTGCCAGGAAGTGAAACTGAAACCGAGCATAGTGAGGTGGGCACTCGCTGGAATGCAAGTGCACAAGACCGTGTGACATCGTGTGGCAAGTGACCTCTTATAGAGCCATCACCCATCTCGTTAGCATTAGCTAGCACATTGTGTTTGACAGCAGGGCCCAAACATATCAGTGCCAGCTGAGCACCAGACTCCACAAGCACGACTACTTGAGAGACATCAACGCAGGCACTATTCGACAAGGCTTTTTCCCATCACCTTGCTTCTCGCCAATGGCGATTGCATGACAGCTGCCGATTCACCTTGAGCGGCTCATGAGGAAGTGATGACGACCTCACCTAGTTGACAGAAGTCCACAGAAAATGAAGTCTCCACTCTGCTCAGATCTGTGTCCACTGAGCGGCTGGGGTAAGGCGAGCACTCAGAAACCGGTGGTGCTGGAGGCGGCTCATCTCCCGCGGGCATGTACGGGCTCCGGGCCGGCAAAGGGTGGCCGGGCCTCCACACAAAAAAAAAAAAAAAAAACAGATTGTCGAGAGCCACTGCTGCCTTGTGGAGGTCCCGTTTTTCCCTCCAAGTTCCCAGCGATGCGAATGGCTTGCCGCAACAAAGGCACACGTCCGCTCCTCTGGAGAAGCTGTGTTGGCAGTTGCGCTCACATCAGGGCCAGGCTGAATGAGTTCTGCCCAAAGGAAATTCAGCTGCGATGCATGGGCGCATGACGCTCTCTTTTTTGTCGCTTTGCAACTCGATTAAAAGATTAAAGTTGCACCGTCAGTGCAAAGTGTGTGGTACACAGCATGATCTCACAGCTCCTGCCGAGTTGTTGGTAAGCGCAGGGCGGCGGTGTGCTGTACGAAGGCATACTCAGCATAGTCTGTTGAGGGCTTACCCCTGCTGGTGCAGTAGACTCCTAAATAGCTGCCGGTGTACCCATAGCTCAGCAAGTGGTCCGCGGCGGTCTCCGCCACCGAAGTGAAGTTGGCTCCATCGTCCAAGGAGTAGGCGAAGTGGTAGGCGTGGTTGCAGGACTCGATCTTGAACGTGATGCTGCCCTCGTAAGCAGGCAAATCATCCGCCTTAAGAGTGCGCTCTTCCTGGTCGCGACCCTTCAAAGTGACGCAGAGTCTGTGCTTACCTCCCACGAGCTGAACTACAAAATTAACGTAGTTGTCATCCTTCTGGAAAACACTTGTGCCGGCCTCTACGCCGTCGGTAGTTGGCTTGAAAGCCATTTTGGCAAGAAATGTGAACTCACTCTGTCGCTGTCGCACTCCCATTAAGCTGCAAGAGACACGCTCCTCGATCACCTGCGGCTGGGAGTTCAGCCGCAAGCACCCAGGACTGAGCGCATACATTCCCTCCTTTGGAACCCGTCGAAAGTTCCACTCTGGGTGGAGGGAGGGGGACTCAAAGGTGTCACGAAACGTGTTGCAAGAATGAAGCTGCATGGACTTGAAGGGCAGCGCCGTCTGACGCTCCACTCGGCCAGTGTCCGGCGCGCAAACGGGCCAGAGCCGTTCGCCCAAGGGGCCCAGGGAGTGCCATTCCATCTGCTCCCGTTCCCACCTTACAGGCACCAAGTGCGTCTCCCGGCCCATGTTCGAGCGCCTCTTGCCAGGCTGCCCTTCCTCTGCTCGAACCCCCAAGCAGACCATATACCATCGTCCATCTGGCAGTTGGAATAGGTCACCGTGCCCGGTACTGTGGACCCAGTTGTCATATGAAAGGTGGCGCGACGTCAGGATGGGGTTTCGATCATTCGGGTAGAACGGGCCAGTGACCTTGTCGCCTTGGCTCCAAGAATTCCACAGCATCACAGGATTACAGGCAAAGTCTGCCCAGCCAAAAGCGACCAAGAAACTTATTGCAATGACCTCTGCGTGATTAACACCAGTTCCGCCTTCGGCAGCCATTAGATAGTAGGAGCCTTCGTGCTTGTACATGTGGGGCCCCTCCACAAAAACGCCACCATGGACGGCTCCACGCCATAGGTGATGCCGCTCACCGACCAACTTGAATGCTTTCAAGTCCAGTTCCTCGGTAAAGACAACCTGTTTGGGGCTGCTGCACTTCCAGAACCCTTGCGAGCACTTCACTCGAAACTTAGCACAGCACGTGGCAGTAGATTTCTCCTCAGCAAACAGACAGCTGAAATGGCCGCCGACACAAGTCTTGCAACAGTCAAGATCAACTCCCTTTTCGCCCCAAGGCTCCTTCACCCGGATAATTTGGCTTGTCGGGCGCCGCAGTACCGACGTACCAGGCCTTGCCGTCATCATCAAAGAAGATGTCAGGATCGATTCCTGGGGCCCCTTCGATGACGTGGGGATCGGACCAAGGGCCACGAATGTCGGAAGCTGTGATGATGAAGTTGGTGCAGGTTCCCTCGTCTGTTCCCGCGGGGCGGTACACACAGGTGGTGATGATGTAGAATGTCCCGTCCTTGTATCGGAGGGATGGTGCCTGAATGCCATCCTCAGACTTCACATCAACGAGGTTGACTGATGAGCTCGCTTGCTCTTTCCTGTGCAGCCCATAGCCCACCCATTTCCAATTCACCAGATCCGTACTTTCGTGAATGGGCAAACCTGGAAAATACTCAAAGGAGGAATTGCAAATGTAGTACACGTCCCCGACCCTGCAAATGGACGGATCGGGGAAGCCACCGGGAATAATGGGATTCAAGAAGTTCTCAGGATCTTCTAATTTCACAACCATGGCCAAAGGAGCATGCGAAAAGCAGCATGCAAGTATCTGAGCTGAAACGGCTACTGCTAAGGATAATGCAGGACAGGCGCGAGTGGCCTTCAGAGACCAGCACTCCTAGAGGCTCAGGACCAGGCGCAGCATCTGGGTGAATGATTCGAACTCAATCTGCTTGATGCACATCTGGTAAGCGTGCCAATTCGCGTCCTGGCCACACAAGAAGTCTCACCAAGCTGGGCCCAACACTCGCAGCTCAACATGCCCTGACATATGCCCATCTGGACCCCAAAACACTTATGCCAAGAGCGCTCTCCTCGGTGGCCTTCATCCACTCCAGGCCGGCCACGAAGTCTTCCTGGGCTCACGCAATGGCTCAGCTATTCTGTGTTCACATGGTGCAGTCCTCAGAGCCGCCGTAGAGGGCAAAGAACTGCGACATGTGCAGGTCCTGGGACGAGCGTTCTAACAGACAAGCCACCGGGCTACGATGGGCGTCATGCTGCGTGCCGAGCTGCTATCAAGTTGGCCTGAGATCCAGGTTCACTTTTCGGCACCCTGCCTCCTACACTGCCTACACATGGCAGCAAATGACAAAAAAGTCATTACTAAGTTGTGCCGAATCTCAAACTCCATATAAGCCGCTCTCTGCTCCTGGGTGTAGTCATCTGCAGTGCAAGAAGGCTGCACGAAACAAGATCGATACTTGACCTGACAGGGGGCCACGGCTTAGCATTTGATCGCTGCATCTTCCGGACAGTTTGCGGGCATCCTGACACCTTTAAATCATCGCATTTCCATCACGAGTCTACAGTCTACAGGATTCATCAGGCTCCACCCTTCATGCCTCCGCTCTGGCTCTTATGAATAGACCGGTCGACTTCTTATGGAAATATAAGGGCTATAGTGCTCACTTCTCCCTTGACATGCTAAGTGAGTTCGTGAGACATTAGAAGAAAGGAAACGAATGAAGTGAGTGAACGCATGAACTTTAATTGCTGAAGAAATGAACAGCCGTGACTCCCTCTATGACTCAAGGAAACGAACTAGTTACAATCATTCACTCACGGCGGTTCCGCTCCCGCTCCCGCTGCCGCTCCCGCTGCCACTGCCGCTTCCGCTGCTGCTTCCGCTTCCGCTGCCGCTTCCGCTTCCGCTGCCGCTTCCGCTTCCGCTTCCGCTTCCTCCTCCTCCTCCTCCTCCTCCTCCTCCTCCTCCTCCTCCTCCTCTTCCTCCTCCTCCTCTTCCTCCTCGTCCTCTTCCTCTTCCTCTTCCTCGTCCTCGTCCTCGTCCTCTTCCTCTTCCTCCTCCTCTTCCTCCTCCTCCTCTTCTTCTTCTTCTTGATCTTCTTCTTCTTCTTCTTCTTCTTCTTCTTCTTCTTCTTCTTCTTCTTCTTCTTCTTCTTCTTCTTCTTCTTCTTCTTCTTCTTCTTCTTCTTCTTCTTCTTCGCGCTTGAGGGCCCAGCCCCAAGCCGACTCTCTCTCTCTCTCTCTCTCGCTCTCTCTCCCCCTCCCTCCGTAGGCCTGGAAGTCGCGAATGGACTCCTTACTTTGCTGCTGCAAAGATCGAGCTTCAGTGGCAAGGCAAGGAAAAAGGAGGGTCTCTCAAAATTGCAGGCTGGCGTCTAAGATTTGCGGGTTCTGGCGCAAGTGCTGCAGGAAGTAATTTGGCAGAGTCTCGCTCATGCTGAAGAGGCGAGACAACTACAGCTTTTAACAAAGGTGTACGTACGATAACACGGATTCGGTACCTGCTCAGGCGCCGTGTCCCGACTTCCCTTTCGCTGCTCACTGAGGTGCAGAGGTCATGCGACATCTGCTGCGTTATCATTGCATGTTTTTCTTGAGCCCGTGCCGAACACCCTGAGCTGACCCGTGTGCTCAGCAGCGCCATGCGAATTCGAAGCATCCAGGGCCCGAATGCTTTTTGCCCGGGGCTTGCGGGCTCCAGCCGATGCGCTAAGGTATCTTAATTAAAAGCGATAAGCGAAGCACAGCACGACTGACGAGGTGGACTTCGGTGAACTGCTCCCTTACTTTGAAGGGCTTAGCCAATGAATGCCTCAAAAGCTCAGCCTAGAAAAAGGCCATGATGTTCACCCCGGTAACGAGGATGGTCAGAGTTACCCCAAAGACCACAAGCACAATGTCCAAACAACGGCACTCTTTCACAAGCGCGTAGTGTGCAATCGCGGGAAATATGAAAGCCAGTGGCACACCACAAAGAGCACCAATCAGGCTAACAAAGTTGTCCAGCTTGCTCGCACCCAAAACAGAGATCCCAGCAAGGAGAACCACCACAAGTGCCCGGAAGGCCGTCTTTGCTGCTTTTCTCATCAGCGGAGGGTCAGATACGGGCGTGAAGAAAAAGGTCTCCAACAGCCGGGTTCCTGGAAGGAACTGCAGCGGAAAGGAACACCAAACTTGCACCATAAATGCAAACCGGACCAGGGATACTGCAATACACTTTGGGAAATTCAGCAGTATTAGAGCCGCCACGTCGTCGCCAAAGGCCATGTAGCCAAGCAGTCCAATGCTGCAGACGACTGCAAGAGTTCCGGATTGAACCAGGACCTGAGCGAACAGACTATTCTTTCTCACAGCATGTCACAATTCACTTCAAAAGTTCAGCTTTCAGCTTCCCATATCCGGCCACGGGGCGTATATCCAGGGGAAGTCTTCCGGCTTCCTGCTGGCGTCATACGTCGGCAAGATGAGGCCGATGCCTTCGAACATGAAGCAGGCCTGGCCAACGCAGACCAGCAGGCCATTCCAATTCAGCAGAGCCAGCTCTTTGGACTCCGTTGCCGCTGACTCTACCTCCATGCCCACGACGATCAAGGCCCCGATGACGACCAAGGCAGTGCCCACCAGGCTTAGAGGCCAAAGCGAGGCCACCTTTCGCACCGCCACTAACGGCACCATGAAAACAGCCATGCAAGCAATCAGAAGGTTTAAGGACACCTTCGGGAGAAGCGTGATCTGCAGCAGCGTGGAGGCGACGATGAAGTAGGTGCAGCAGGTCCCCAGCTGCAAGAGGACAATAAAGAGGTTGGCAGCCGCCCGCCCACGAGGCCCCAGGGCATTGTTCATCAAATCGCCATATCCTGCATGGTTCTCTGTTGTCAGGCGTGCCTTGAGCAACAAGAGCGCACACCAGATGGAAGTCATCCCAATGAACGGCACCAGGATGGAAGCAAAAACGAGACCTGTGGGTGTGTAGATGTGTGTGTGTGTGTAGATGTGTGTGTGTGTGTAAATGTGTGTGTGTGTGTATAGATGTGTGTGTGTGTAGATGTGTGTGTGTGTGTAGATGTGTGTGTGTGTGTGTAGATGTGTGTGTGTGTAGATGTGTGTGTGTGTGTAGATGTGTGCGTGTGTGTAGATGTGTGTGTGTGTAGGTGTGTGTGTGTGTAGATGTGTGTGTAGATGTGTGTGTAGATGTGTGTGTGTGGTAGATTGTGTGTGTGTGTGGTGTATATGGTGTGTGTGTGTGTGTGTGTGTCTATGTGTGTGTGAGATGTGTGTGTGTGTGTAGATGTGTATGTGTGTGTGTGTAGATGTTGTGTGTGTGTGTGTGTTTAGATGTGTGTGTAGATGTAGATGTAGATTGTGTGTAGATGAATGTGTGTATGTGTGATGTGTGTGGTGTGGTTGCGTGTTGTGCGTGTGTGCTTGTGTGCGTGTGTGGCGTGTGTGCGTGTGTGCGTGTGTGCGTGTGCGCATGTGCGCGTGTGCGCGTGTGCGCGTGTGCGCGTTGTGCGCGTGTGCGCGTGTGCGCGCGTGCGCGCGTGCGCGCGTGCGCGTGTGCGTGTGTGTGCGCGTGTGCGCGTGTGCGCGTGTGCGCGTGTGCGCGTGTGCGCGTGTGCGTGTGCGTGTGCGCGTGTGCGCGTGTGCGCGTGGCGTGTGCGCCTGTGCCTGTGCCTGTGCGCCTGTGCGCGGGGCGTGGGCTGTGTGCGTGTGTGCGTGTGTGCGTGTGTGCGTGTGTGCGTGTGTGCGTGTGTGCGTGTGTGCGTGTGTGCGTGTGTGCGTGTGTGCGTGTGTGCGTGTGTGCGTGTGTCGTGTGTGCGTGTGTGCGTGTGTGCGTGTGTGCGTGTGTGCGTGTGTGCGTGTGTGCGTGTGTGCGTGGTTGCGTGTGTGCGTGTGTGCGTGTGTGCGTGGTGCGTGTGTGCGTGTGTGCGTGTGTGCGGTGTGCGTGTTGTGGCGTGTGTGTGTGTGTGTGTGTGTGTGTGTGTGTGTGTGTGTGTGTGTGTGTGTGTGTGTGTGTGTGTGTGC